TTGTATGACATTAACTTTAATTTAATCGGATCAATTAAAAAATAAAAAATTATCGAAAAAAATTATTCAATGATTTTTTTTACGAGCGGCAACTTTAAACTTTTTTTAATACAGAAATTATAATTTTATTGTATATTACAATCATGCTAAAATTATTTTTGGAATAAGACATTATTTCAAACATTAACCATGAAGCAAAATCATTGAATATCTAAGCACTACTTCTTAAACACAATTAGAGTTAAGTTATAAATGTAATGTTTCCTCAATTTATAGATTGGAAGCTTAAAGCAAGTATAGGCTCACAATTTCTGGATAAACTCCCTACAACTAAAAGAGTTAGAATGAGTTGTTACCAAAGGAAGAATCAGCTTATTGGTTTAACCCAAATGTGAAGTAAATTTTGTTTTATGTGTCAGTGATATTAGAAAAAGCTATGTTTTTTTTACCAAACATTCATTCAACGAAGGTGGATTTAAGTTTTTATAATATGCATAATTATAAATTACAGACATTTCTACTAGATTTAGGAGACAAAATATAAATTATTTTCACAATATTTGCAGTGATAACTGAAGTGTAGATATTATTAATGCAAATAAATGGAACAAAATACACTCCCAACTCTGATTAAAAATTATCAAAGGAGTAATATTTTTAATTATAATGAGACAGGGCTATACTATCGAGCATTACTAAAGGGCATAGTGGAATTTAGTGGAACTCAACCACTGGGCTTCAAACAAGACAGAAAAGGTCTCACTTCTATTTATCATAAATGGGGATGAATCTGATAATTATATATTGCAGGAAAATTTAAAAACCCTAGGTGTTTAAAATTTAAAAAATAACAGTTGAATACAAATCTAATAAATGCAGTTGGATGATATCTTCAACTTTTAAAGATATCCTAAGAGAATGGGATTCCTCATTAATTATTAAAATTTTATTGTATTAACATTTATAATATGAAATTAATTTTTCTACCAGCAAATACCACATCTTTATTCAAATTTTGGAGTTGGACATGGGTGTAATTAGTTCCTTCAAATGCCATTATAGAAAAGGTATCATGAGAAAGATGCTAATATTGATGGAATGTCACCACCTCTTTTTATAAAAGGTTTACACTTTATAATACCCAATCTAATAAAATTTGCATGGGGTAAGGTGACAAGTACCACAATCATAAAATGCTTTATTGAGACTAGTTTATCTGATAAGTCTATGCATTTGAATGGGAATCGGGGGATTATATGACACTAACTGACAACGAATAACATAAATTTTATTACATATTTGTAGAATATGCGTTACACAATGATAATGCTAGTTGTCATGGCATATTGGATGATCAGGAAATTTGTATTCATACAAGATTTTAGAATTGGAAGATCTGAGAATGAAGAAGGGAATCTAGAGATATCTGATTTTTTGGTTACTATACATTTCTTGAATATGTTCATGATCATAGAAGGAACCAAGATTCACTAAGAATTACAGAGAATATAGTACAAAGAGAATTATTTACTCCAGAGTCTAGCCAAACTCTTATCACAATATTTTTATTAAATCTCACATTATTTTATAATAATTATGATGTATATATAATAATGTATTATGAAAACACAAACCATTAATAGACTTTCATTCAGGCGTGGCCTAATAATACAATTTAATTTATAATATTAGAATTTATAAGTTAAATTATTTTAAAAAGATTAATTTATTTTTTTGTAGAAGATAATAAAATCTCTAAAATGGTAAAGGGAATCTAGATATTTGATAATTTAATCTTAAAAATCAAGCTATTTATGGATATATTTTTTTTGAATATACACTAGATTATCCAAGGGAACATGGTTCATTATGAAAGCTAAAGAATACAATAAAAATAATTAACCACCGAGTTTTGATAACTTATATAACAAAAAAAAAATTTAGGTAGCAAAAAAATATCTGTATTTTATAATCATATTATGTATACAGTAAAATAATTTCGAATCAAATATTGTAGAAATTATACAATTATAAAGTTGGATTTATACGGATTTATATGTATAAAGTTTGCTTAAATGTATAAAATAATTTATCGAAATATGGTAATCATAAAAATATCATTTGAATATCGAATAATCCAACTATTTTAAAATTCTTGATATTTACGTGAGAAAAATTAATTTCAAATGTTAAACATACTAGGCTAATTTTTAAAATTTATGTTTTTTTCTTAGTTTTGAAACTTATTCAAATTTAAGTATATAGTTGTTACATTAATTAAAAATTGTATTTATTACTAAGTTTGATGGTTATGCGCTTGAAATATATATAGATGATAAATAATTTTATAAAAAACACAAATTGATTTTTAATAAATAAATTATTGATTTTTATAGTACAATTTCAAAAAATCTAATAATTTCTAAATATTTTGGTCTCAAGCTTTTGCAATTAAACTGTTTTTAGTATTTGAATAAAGTATATTCGTGCTATTTAAAATATTATCTTAACGTATTTAAGTTTTATTATATTTAAATTTATAAATATGCATTACTATTTGAATAAATTGTTTATCATTTTTTTTGTTGGATAAATTTTATAGATATAAAAGGATTTAAAAATTACAGTATTTCAATTCAAATTAAATTAAGTTAAAGTCGTAATATAACAATAATAAACCAGTGAATAACTTTAAAGTAAAGTATTTAAACTAATATTTCTATTTCTATTTCTATTTTAATACAATTATTATGGTCAATAGTCTTATAGTAATTTTAATTTCAACATTCAAATATTATTGGGTATTTCACCCCTAATTTCTTTTGAGTAGAAAGGTGGTGTAACCTAAACTGTTTACCTAAGTGGCAATTAGATATCTCATCTCTAATTCAACTTAAATTTTAATTGCCTGGGGGGGGGGGGGGTAGAACAACCCTTAATTTGGGTATCCTTAATATAAATTCCAGTTTTTAGTGTCTTTAAATTATTAAAATATCTTCTTACGTATCCTGCAACCTTTAGAAAGTCCCCTGTATAAAAAAAATTAAAAAAATCACTCATATATACTTTTTTAAATTTATCAAATTTTAAATAATAAAAAAAGGTGTTAAAATTAACACATTTTAAATTATTCAAAATATACATGAGTAACGCTAGCCCTACCAACCTTCATTTGCCTACCAGCTCTAATCCTGTAACTGTAAATAGTCATGGTTATGCAAAAAAATGTATTTGAATATAATTACTTAAAAAATATGTATTTAAAATATAACAATTAAATTTCAAAGTATTTAACAACAAATATTTTGACGAAAACATTTTGCACAAATAAATTCTTTGACGAATACTTTTTGCAAGTCAATTTTTTAGCACATGTCCTGTCAAATAATATTTTAATTATAAACCATTTTCTATTTATTTTTGCAGATGTTGCATACCACATAAATTATATAATAATTGCAAATATAATTAACATCATCGGAGCATATAATAAATTGTTGGAGGGTGGGGATGAAATCGCTCTCTTTACAATTTTGGTATTGAGTTTTTAGTTGAGTTGAATTTGCATTTAGCGCACTATAATATTTATTATTGATAATATTAATATTTTTGAAAAAACTTTCATCCAAAATTGTCAAATAACAATTCGAAGTTGACATAGTCACAAATCTCTGCAAACATAGCTTATAACAGTAATAACTTAAGATAGAAACCAGAGATCCTAAAAAAGAATATAAGTTTGGTTAAGACTGGGTTAAAAATAACGGTTAAGGGTCGGTTCTTAAAAAATAATAACTATAAAAAATTTTGTGAAATAGCAATAAAAAATTCATAAAAATAGTATTTGAAACTAATCGATCAAAATTGATTGATAACAATCTTTATAATAATTCGGATATAAATTAGAATTTTAGCAACAGGATAGTAATAAATTTCATTTTATTTTTTAAATATAAAATCAGGAGGTTCTTAATGGTTCACAAGCATTTTTAGCAATTCTATTCAAGTTCGGTTTGGATCCCTGATAAATTGCAATATATTCCTCATAGTAAAAAACTTGTTTTCATGTCCGTTTCCGGTAATACTCATTATAATAATAAAAATAGATTAAAATAGATATTATTTTTTCGCTAAATCGGGTCACAAATTTATATTGAAAAAATAAATTTGATATATTTCATAATCAAATTTATAATAAAAATAAAAAAAGGTTTTTTTATTTATGTTTGCCATTATTATTAAATATAGATGTCATTCTAATGAGGAAAATTAATCCATTATTATTGCTTCTTTTATTCTCTGATGGTACATAATGTAAATAAAAGAAGAAAATATACAATATAAGTAAAAATATAATTTGATTAACAAGACTATTTTATTAAATTGCCTATTTTTTGAGAATAAAAAATAAAATTTAAAATAGGTAATTTTAATTAATATATTATAAAGATAAAACAATTATATAGTTATATAAATGAAGTCTGAAAAAATTCTCACTTTCTGTATAAATAATTTGATCCAATATTATGAGTTAGAACCAAAAAAAAATATGTATTTACCTAATTAAAATCTTCCATATTAAAGATGACCACTGCTAACTTCAATTTTATCGCATTTGATTCTTATTTTAATATATTACAAAACAGCCTATTTTATACATAAGTACATGCTCCTAACCAAAACTTCTGATAATACCACCTATTTTAATTACTTTTCATGTCATTAATATATGTCAAATCTGACAGGTGTATTCTCTTTTATTTTAAGGCTCACTTAGTATGTTCTGTCTTTTTTTCTGTTTTTAAAAAGTTAAATAAACATGTTTTTTTGCAAAATCGTAAATATTGGCGATTAAGCAAAATATTTTTAAAACAAATATGATAACCCATCATATTTACTTTTTCTACGCATATAAATATTTAAATCTTATATTTATAAAATGCGAAATGTCTTTAACATAAGATATTTTTTAAACAAAAAAAAGTTTATATATATTATCTTAGTGATACTGACAATACAAATATTCCTAGCATTTAAAATTATTAATATCAAACATATTCAGAACAATGATATTGATACTCAGGTAAGATTTTGTGATATACTGTTTTATAAACTGTAGTTTAGACAACCCTGAATCTGCCTATAAATTCAAACAAACCTGAAGATATTTATACCAAGAGAATATACAACAAAGAATTAATATATATATGCAATAATATTTCAGAAGAAACTAAAGATGCTTTAAAAAGAGCTAAAACTACACAATGCAAACAAGCATTAATAAATGTTGCCTGTAAATATAAGTCATTTTACCCTTCTTCAATAAAACCAACATGTCCATTATTATTGAGTAATATATATTTATAGCCAAATTTCTAAATTTATATGATAATAACAATGAGTTGTAATTTTTAATACATTAATATTGATATAGAATATATTAGAATTTTTTTTTTTTAGCTAAACCAAAAGTATTGGGTTGTTTTATAGAACCTCCAAATAGTCCAGATATAAGAGATGAAAGTGTCAATTTTGTAGTAAATTCTCATGAAAAATGTGTTAGCCATTGTTTTAATAGACGTATGTTATAATTTAAATCTATTATTTATATTTTTCTTTATATATAAATATATATATTAATAAATTATTTAGTTTTTAAATGCTTGTAATCTGTTTAATATTAATTATAAGCAATATTGTTATGCCTACTATAAAAAAAGTATAGCATTATAACAATAACTACTTATTACCTACTATCTTAAAAAGCCCTTACCATATGTATAGAAGGGGGGGGGGTGATATATTGGATATTGACTCCTCATTGGTTAATATTAGTTTTTACTCTCTACCATCTATATCCTTAACCCTGTCCTATCTTCCTTGACTTGCTTAAAAAAGCCAAGCTTGTGTGGTAAATGTATTTTTTTTACAGATAAATTATTTTTTTACTTGGTAAATTTATTATTTATTGGACAAATTATAAATTTTGAACAATTAAAAAAAAATTCTGACCAATTTTTACATCTATTTTATTAATAATTTATTATTTATACTGATATTGAAACTTATAAAAATATTTTAGAAAGCAATACAAAATATAAAAATACTAAATTAAAATTATTAATAATTAGCATAATCATATTATTATAACTGAATATTGAATGATATTGTAGTAAATTGAAGTAACATATTACCTTAAGAGTGATAGTGATCCAAACTTGCCGACAAAGATTTTTCTGACCCTTAAAAAATTTTTATGAATGAAAAAATATGATTAAAATTTGATCCACCCTGGAAAGGTTTTTTTTATACAAGTTTCTTAAAATATTTTTGCCCAATCCACAGACCAGTCTTCAAGGGCAGACCAGGTCAGTCTCTCCTAAATATCTTTAGAATATGACAAATAAAGTGGCATAGCATAAGGTTAGGATGGCTCTATCCAGATCAGGCCCATGGTGGTTCTCTGCTTTTTGTTCTAATACTATCTGTTTTCTTAAATATTTTATAGAGTTTGGAATCACCTGGAGATTCAAAAATGTTCCAATTCTGAATATTTTTATGAGGGATTCTTCGTAAATCGATCTCTGTTTGGACGGTGGTCTCAAAATGTCCATCCAAGCAATTTTAAATTCATGAACCCTATTTGGGTTCACCCCTAGTAATTAAGTATATGGACCTGATTCAGCAAAAAATTTCAGCGACCAATCCAATCCGTTGATTATATATTTTTCTCAAGGATCTTACACCTATACGATCTCATCTCAGTCCGATTCGGATTGGATTGGGAAGAATCTGACAGGCGGAAATATTCATAACGAAAAGAAGTATGGATTTTTTTCCCCGCAAATATTTAATGAAATAAAAATTGTTATATAATTTTAAATTTGAACCGCGAAATGGAAAAAAGTGAAAAAAAAATATTAAAATTATTTGTTTTTGTATGATGTGCATTTTTTTTATAAAAAATTAATTATTTTTTACTATTTTTGGTAAGTAAATACCAAATCACCCCAGGTAGTAAATAGAATTTATTGAAATAATATACTCCAAACTATAGTTGGATTATTACTATATTTTTTTTAGCCGTTTAATTTTTAGCTGGCTAAACCAAATTTTTGGTCGAAAATTATCACACTTTGATTGGGTTTTTCTTAAAAAAGATAGCAGCTTGAATTTATTAGAACGCCTAAATTTTAAATGATTTTCTCCGGCAAGGCTTCTGAAAATTGAGCCGACATTTAACCGTACCCAACTATACTCCTAACGAATAATCTAGTAAATTTTTTAGATTTTAAAATATATTCAAATGTAAGAAATTTTTTATAAAAATATTCGCATGAATATAAATGTCAAATATAATATTAGAATACGTATTTATATATTGATTCGGAAAATCCGAATCAATGTCATTCGAGTAAATGAAATGATCGCTTCTTAAAATAGAAGCAACCAAGTTATTAATACAGTAAAAACTTGCTTTAGCGCTTTGGGTAATTCGAAACACCCTGTACAATTTTAGCTAGTATTGTTACCTCGAATTCATAGTGGCGCGATTGCGATAGCGATTTAGCCGCGATAAATACAAAATACAGTTAAGCATCATATCGCATTTATAGTTACCGATCGCGCGACTTGAGTCGCAAAAGCTAATCGCGGGGATTTTTTTAGATACAAATTATTTTGTGTTTATCGCGTTAAACGACTCTATTTGGGGCGATTTTTTAAAAGGGCCGGATTTAAGATTTTACCTAAAATAAACATAATGCATAGCAATAACATATTATAATACCTAGACTGACGATGCATTCATAATGCAAAGCGTCATTGAATGCAAATCAGCTGGACCCGCCATTTCGGTAACCCATATAGTAATTATTCTCATGATAAAAACTACTATTAAATGGATTTTAATAAAGTTTGCGTCAGGTATAGTAATAAATTGGCCTCTCGTTTTAAATTTTTAATAATGATATGGGGTAACCAAAATGGCGTCTCCAGCTGTTTTCATTGATATACGCTTTTAATGAATTCATAGTCAGTCTAGGTATTATTATACGTCATTGCATTATGTATATAGACCTCGAATGCGAATTCGCTAGGCTTACGTAATATTATTTTTGACTAAAATCTTAATCGGGCCCTTGTTTAACAAACACTAATTTGAGCTTAATGGATAATTATTATTTTTTTTAAACATTTTGCGCCATTTTTGTTTCTTAAACTGAATTTAAATTTTTTTAAAAAAAGGTACTTCCGGTACCTTAAAATTTTGAAAAATGGGTCTAAAAATGAATCACAAAATTTTTAAATTATTATGTAATATATATTAATTTAGAATTTTGTTAAGACTGGTTTCTGAACCGGTTCCCAAAATTTTTTTAAAATGGGTTCCGGTTCCTATAAATTTAAAAAAAATGGAAGTTTCAGTTTTTTTTACTGTTCCAAATTCTAGACACGCTACTTAAAGTGACCATAAACCCTTAAGTGACGACTAAGTTGTTAAACGGCTCGATGTGACCGATTTTTAAGTTAAGATTTTGGCCAAAATAATGTTACGCCTGTCTCGAAATTTCGTTAAAAAATGTCTAAACCTTTCTGTCCACCTATGAGCAAAATCTCCATGCGTGCGTAACGCCTATGGGGCTAAAATATTGAGTTAGCCATTTTTTAAATAGCGAGCCGTTTAACAACACCGGCACGTCAATCCCCCCCCCCCCCCCCCCACCTCTTTAAAAAAAATTATGAAGATTACTTTAGAAGATAATCTATTTTCAGGTTTATCATACATAATTATTTTTTTGATTGTTTCTAGAAAATTCTTTGAGGTATTTTTTATTTAATTGTTAATTTAAAAACTAAAAGAAAAACTAGTCCAAATTTTGATTTGAATTTTAAAATTATAATTCATCAATCCTTTGTTAATTTTTTTATTAAAATGGTTTTACTTAAATAGAACAATTACTCGTAATAAGAAGAATTATTGTGGAAATGTTATTCAATTCCATAAAATAAATTTACAAAAAACGTAAGATTTTTTTTAGTGACCTGTAAGATGTTTCACATTTACGGGACTTGGCACAAGTGTTGTTAAATGGTTCACGGTTTGAATCGATGCTTAAAAAGCGGCTAACTCAATATTATGCACCAGCCTGAAAATTTTTCTCGCAGAGAATCAAGGTTTGAATAATTTATTTAAATGAAATCTCGAGGCTCTGGCGATATTTTTTTGTGGGCTAAAATATCGAGTTAGCCCTTTTTAAAATATCGGCTCAAATCGAGCCGTTGAACAACACTAACCGGCACGGATATATAAAAATATAAGAGATCGATTATCCGATCCGGATCATAGTTGGTAAAATTTGTTAAATCTTTTTTTTTGATAATTTTTTACGACTTGGTCCGATTTTCATTTTTTTTACCGACTGGGATTAGAATATGTAAAATGGTTGGTTTTTTTTGTCCTGGTGTGATCCGGTTTCCGGTTTAAGCTAACAAATGATTGACGTTACTAAAAGTCGGGATTAGCTTAGGAAATTTTTTTTATTGGCTACGTTTATTTTAAGGTGTTGTGTTGTCACCTTGACCATCTGTGTTTTTTTAAAAAACAATTATGCCGATAAAATCAAATAATGCTATCGTGGCAAACTTGCGAGATTAGAAATAATATTTGATTTCCTGAAAATGCTCACGCTATTTCTCCTATTCATTACTTAACTGCCAATCATGTTTAAATTACATGAGCCGTATGGTTTTTATTGTAGTTTATATAAATATCTAATCACCCCTCATAAAAAGTACCCTACCCTATATATAACTAAACCAAAATTTTTATACTCTTTCTTTCCTCGCAAAGAATACACTTACGCTCATCTCATGAATGGTTACATATGCCATTGCGGGTTTAGCTATAACTCGTTCGGCCCTTACGTGCCTCCCACGTCTCTCCCCATCTCCCAAAACGCTTCTACGATCTCGGTCTCGAAGGATGAATCCCTGGATTGCGAAATCAATAAATGCGCGGGCGACTCTAGTCAAGCTTGTGGATCGGCCGGCTCGGCTATCACTATTAAAACCGGATTTTTAGGTATGCTTCATAGTTACCGAAGTACAACCGGATTTAACCGGGACCCTAAAAAGACCGAACCAGCAACTACTGGTCCGATATCGGTCTTTTATATTTTATGTATGCGGACTAACCAAGAGCGCACTACTAAGGGATTTGTCATATTGTATTTTATCATCTTTTTATAAATTATTTTAGAGTAAATGCTTTTTTGACGCGTCTATCCCAGACAGCGTTCTTTGTACGATATTCCATCTAAACAGGAAATGAATGAAATTTAAAATTTTCTAATTCTTTAAGCATACTCTTACATTATATTAATTTAAATATATCGAAATTCTTGAGTAATTTTAATTTGATTTCAAATTATTTTATATATTTTTATTGTGGCAATTTAAATATATTTTTATTATAAAGACAAAAATGCCTTAAATATACAATCCATATCTCGCAGTCTCAAAGAAGCTTCCAAGCCTTACGACTACAAAAACCTTAAACCCAGGGTAAAAATTGTGTTCGTGTTTGTTATCAACGGAAGGGCAGACAGACAAGTTCTTAGGCTACTAAGAACTCTTTACACTCCTGACCATTATTATTTGATACACGTCGATGCTGTAAGTAAATATTTTTAATCCTCCATGAAATGTGAATATTTTTTTATTTGAATGGGAAGGAGGGGGGGGGGGGAGTAATAACAATTATATTACAATTCATAATTTGAAGTTGGGTAAATGTATAATTCGGTTTATTCAACAGGCGCTTCCCAAAGAAAATCCGCTAAGCCTTGAGACATGTTAATTTATTTTTTGCTTTTTTTAAAAGTTATGCTATATTTTTTTAAGGGGTTTGAGGTGATAAATTTCGGCTAGAAGTTCAGCCATTTTTTTAGCCGACTAAAAATAGGTATAAAATAGCTATAAGTAAATGTAAATGGAGTTAATGGATATGTATACCTCACTTCTATCTATGACTGCTACTTCTACGTATAAGATTTGTCTTTTTTAAATCAAAAATGCTATAGAGACGAAAATATCTGTACAACCGTTTGCTTGGTGCATTCACCGGACCCAATTCCTCTCACCCCATGCCTGCTAACATTAGGCTTACGGCGAAGAGGTTCACCCCAATATGGGGTGGCACATCTCTGCTCCAAGTTTTGCTTTACTGCCTCGAACTCTTGCTTAAGGACTCCTACCTTGCCCGGAACTGGAATTGGGACTACTACATCAACTTTAGCGAATCCGATTTCATCATCAGGTGATTTAATATTTTTTACATAATCGTTTTTAATGAAGAAGAAATGATAGCTCGGATCTTCAAACTGACTCAAATTTGTAGGCACCATGAAATATTTAAAAAAAAATGGAGTTTTTTTAGAAAGAAAGACATTATATCAAAGTGATAAAGTTTGATGGATAAAAAGATCCAAATTTGTTGCCAGTGTTGAGAACACCCTTTTATAAGGCCACCCATCACCAATAGAAATTTGGAAAAATATTTAAATTATCCTGTAATTTTAGGCCGCTCGACGAACTCGTTAATTTTTTGACGTATAATAACGGAACAAATTTCGTAAAAGCTCATCAAGGTTCAAGTTCTACCAGGTTTTATTCTATTATTTTTTTACATCTATTATTTACATTTTAAAAAGAATAAAAAAATAAAAGATCATTCATTCATTCATTCATTCATCACAATTTAAGAAAAAAAATTCGCCATTTAAAAAAAACAACATTTCTATTAATAAATATTACAACGAATTCCTAAAAGATAATTGGCTCATAATGTTCACATGACCACTCTAGATCCAGCATTGCACAAACTACCCTTAAGATTTGTAAAGTGTATCTTAGCCTCATTCATTCGGAAACTTCATATTACAATTATTTTACCAAACCAGCTTATAGCTGTGTGAGAGTTAAAAATAAAAATTGTTACCAGGGCTTTGGTCATACGGATTGCTAATTTTTTAAATAAATATACCTAAGATGGAAGGAAGAGGAAGGGATTATCAAATCGGTCTTCAAATATGAATATGTAGATTTATTTATACAATTTTTTGGACTCGGTAAATTTTACTTTTAGGAAATGATTTAAATTTTAGTATTATGGCGACTCTTAACATATTTAAAAAAATTTTTTATGGGGGTGGGGGTAAGGCCTGAAATACAATGTTTGGAGTTGGTTTGACACTGAAAAGATTAATTATAATGATAAAAAAATATTTTCGACAGATTTATCCAAAAACAAGGTATTGAACACCTGTTCCACGAATGCGAAAACCACCTCTGGCGACTCGGGAAACGTGACTTGATACGAGGCGTGGCCTACGATGGTGCCAGCGATTGGCTAATATTGGCTCGCAGTTTTGGCCGATACCTAATAGCCGATAATCAATCGATAACCAGTGATATCGATTATTACAACGACATATTCGGTGATCGGGAGGCTTACGATTTAAAGGAAATGAAGGATTTGGTCAACAAAGATTTCTACGATGCGGGTAGGCTCGCTAAGAGAGAATTTAGTGAAGAGGACATGAACGTTTTGACGGCACTCAAGTCCTTCTTCTTTCAGGCCCTTTTGCCTGGAGAAGTAACATTTTTTTATTAATTATTTTCCCCCAAACTTCCACCTCCCCATTTATATTCATTTAAACGAAAAGCGCATCAAATTTTTGCTGTAAAATAGTATATTTTGTAATAAAACATTTAAAAAAATATAACAATGTGTTTTTATATTTTTGCACATTACTTATAAAATAAATGACGCTTGCTATATAATATAACAAAACAGATGTAAAAACTAAAATTGTATACATTTGATGTAAATTTTTAACTTATGAAGTTTTTGTTCCATTGGTTATTTCCGATAGAATAGTTTGTCAAAGCTAATTATTTGAAAACCCAAAAATCGCAAAATGTTTAATTATTATATTTTAAAATAAAATGGGGGAAAAATGAAGTAGTAGTAATAATTTATTTTGGCACAAATTTGCCCTTTTATACCCTATAAATAATTCTTCAAAATTAACATAAAACAGGACTCAACCTGAGTCTTACAAATAATATAATCCAAACTCAAATACATGCGCCATGTTACACGTCCATATTATTACGCGTAAAAAAAATATGATCGTAATTTATTTTGCAAGTAATGTGCAAAAAATATAAACACCCATCATTTTTTTGTTAATGTTTTATTACAAATATACTATTCTACCCTGTCAAATAAAAATTTGTTATCCTGGTAGCCGAACATGAGATACGAAAAAAAATTATGTCAGCAAATTATGTTATAAAACGACTACTCTATATCATATTATCTAAACCGCCGTGCGATTTTAAATAAAATATACCAAATTTCTCAAACCCGGTTTGTCATATGACCAGCTGACTGAACCTCAACAAACTAAAATCCTCTCCGATCCGATGTCAGATATATTAAATCTTTGTATGTTATGTTTTTTTTGTAGCAAATTTTTTTCTCCTAAAAATATATAATTTTACATTTAAAAAAAAAACAAAAACTAGTCTTTCTTTCAAACATTACTGTTGAACTCAAGATTTTGTGACCGCTTCATCACCAACAATCTACACCACATTAAATGGCGAAGGCCATCTGGCTGCACTTGCGAGTACAAGAAATTCGTGGATTGGTGTGGTTGCTCTCCTCATAATTTTAGGACATCGGATTTGGAGAGATTGATCAAAGTGATTCCATTATATTATATATTAGCACCGTGTCACGCATCGGATCAGTTTTTTTCGCTCATTTTGCCCTACCCGAAACAATTTTTTTTCTATCTTTAAAAGTTTTTAATTTGTTTTTTTTTACAAGTTTAGATCACCATAGTGCCCACTATACAGATTGTAGTGGGGATCTTTTTATAAATTTAATACGTTTTATAGGTGTTTAATATTTTCAAATTAAAATTAATTATGATCAATTTAATTTTAAGATGATAAATATTAATTTGAACAAATAAAATTTACATAGTAAAAAGAAATACATTCGATTAAGTATCATTAATAATTCAAAAATTATGTTACGCCAATTATAACCCAACTAGTATTGTTAAACGGCTCGATATGAGCCGAATTTTAAAAGCGGTCAACTAATATTTTAGCCAGAAAAATATTGCCTGAGCCTCGAAATTTTCTGCAGTGACATTTGTTCCATCTATAAAATCTTCAGGATTGCTGGTAATTTTCTGGAGAAATATTGAGGTAGTCGTTTTTAGAACCCTGGCCCAATCGAGCCTTTTAACACAACACCCCCATTTCCCACGATGATTTTTTTTTTTAAAAAAAAATAAATATTCTATCACAACAGTAGTTTCATAGGCTTAGATAACTTCGAAACAACGTTTTTTTTTTCAAAACATTTTCATAGGCACTTTTTTCGCAATATTTTTTACTTCCAAACACCCAACGATTTATATTATAGCTAATTTTTTTTACATTACAAAATATTTTAATAAATAATTTGTGCAAAATGTACTATATATCCCCAGGAATGGGAGGACCAATGTTACTTCAAAGATAATATTAACTTATTAAATAAAATATGAAATGCATATAAGCTACAGAATAATTTTCAAATAGCCTATACAAGCTGAATAAGCAAACTGAATACTTAGAGGATTATTAAAATATTATTCATTTTTATTATAAAATTTACATTATTAACTGTAATGACATAAAAAAAATCTAGGCAATATATCTTAAATATATAATACATGTTTTCAATAATGAATTAAGAGATGCATTTAAGAAAAGTAAGGGATAAAGATAGAAATCTATTCTTGCTGCTATAACTTATAAAGAATTAAAATTATATTAAATGGTATCCACATAACTGTGTAATGAATAATTCAAAGTTTTTTATTTCGAAATATGTAATTGTTTATAATATTTTAATAAATATATTTAAATTATATAAAAATTTCTATAAAAATATAAGCAAATTGTAAAAAATATTTCAGTAACAATATATCTGTCACATTAGCTAAGGTTTATAATTGTTCTAAGACATTCTGGGATAAATGTAATATCTGATCTGCTTAAATTTATTTTTATAATATAATGATCATGGATAGTTATCTAATAATTCCATTATCATAATTTCCTTAAATTCATTGAATACCTTGTTTTAATTTAATAACAGAAATGTAAATTAATATATTTATATCAATATGCTTAATTAGTTTTTAAAAAAATCCTTTGATTAAAAATTATAGATAAAAAGGTGTTACTCAACAAGATAACTCTTTTACCATATAAAATCCACAATTCATTAAATAATTCATCGAATACTTTATTTGAGTAAGTTTGTTTCACCTGGTTCAAAATTATTGCATAATATAATATTTAGAAAGGAGCTTGTTCACTTCAATCGTATAAGACGCCATTTAATCGTTAAAAAAATATCAAACTAGTTTTGATATTAAAAATAACGCAAAATCATATGCATTAAAAAAACGTTGTGTTTGGAAGTGGTCTTAGCCAAAATTTTCCTAAATAGGGGGGTAGGGACGGAACTTTTGAATGGCTTTCTTTCCCCTCTCATAAATTGTATTGGAGTGATAGGTCTATTTATATCAGGCCTTATGATGGGTTATATTTTTTAAAAAAAATTTGGAGTTTTTTTCATTATTTTTTTTACTTTAAAATTTTTTAATAGTTATTTTAATTAAAAATTATTAACTTTGATTTCTTTGTTTCTAAATTTTTTTTATTGTTTATGAATGTCATTTATTTTTTGGTGAGATGGAATAAGAGTGAAGAGTGTATGGATATTAGAGGTCTACAAATGGCAGAATTTTTAAGCCCGGCCCGGTTGGGATTTAGTTTTTGCCCGGTCCGGCCAAATTAGCACCAGGCCCAGCCTGGTTTCATTAAAGATTACTCGGCCCGATTTTTTAAATACAAGGCCTAACTCGAAATATATGTAGTTGATCACCAATTATAAACAATTATTTATAATATTGGAGAGTGGGTTGAATCGAAAACTCTATACCTTATGGATTATTACTTCTATCAAATATCGGAATTCATCAATAAAACCAAATACAATATATAATATGCCCTATTTCTATCAATGATGATTTGATCATGCGAGATTACATTAAAAATTCAAGATTATGATCAAAAAATATGAGCAAAAAAAAGGCCTAATAATGTTATATTGTATTGTCATCCTTATTTCCAATTTTTTTTGCCCGATCCGTCCTAAAAAATTTTTTTTTCGGAAGTTATCCTGTTGGCCAGGCATTGCAGACCTTTAACGAAGATAATTTTTTTTAAAGTTAATTTATAAAGTATTACCTAATAAAAGGGGTTTTATTTTTATTTTTTAAAACTTTATTTTCGTTCCCCTAAACAAACCGAAATATTAGAAAAAAAGTTCCGACGAATTTATGGCCAGAAAATTCGAAGCGCTCATAGATCAAAATATCGTGAAAGAGGTCGAAAGGCATTTGCACGGAAACGAATTTATAGGTAAAAAAAATTTTTTTTTAAAAAAAAAGTGAATTTACTGTCGCAAATTGGATATCGTTCTGATTGAAGAGTAATTATTATGCCACCTGCAGGGGTACTATTTGCATGGCCCGGTTCGGGTTTTGTATTTTCAGACCCGGTCCGGATTTTTTAAAAATGTACTTATTTTTAATTTTTATAGAGAATGATGGCGTTTTAAAATATTTGGTGATAATATATGGACTTGCCCAGCCCGGATATATTTTAAAAAAAATTAAAATCCTAAGCGCTATTTTGAATTATGCTCTTTTTGTAATTTTATTTTATTAAAAAATTTTATGACTATTCTCCCAAAACATATTAAATTGTTTAAAAAAAAACATGCCTTCTGATTCGATAAAATGAAAAACACGTGACTATCGGGTTTAGTCAGGGGGTTCCCTTATTTTATATCCACTTATAAAAATCTGTTTATTTTAATTTAAAAAAATAAAAAAAATAAAAGACCACCCAAACTACGATTCCTATTGGTTTAACCTGTACTCGCTGGCTTACGATGACCCAGATAACGAGTTTTTTCGAGGTTCGGTCAACTCTGTTAAACGTTTGTTTTTCGATTCGTTCTTTCGGGAGACATTTTGCTCCAACTCTCTGTGTTTCGGTTTGGATGACGATGATACTCTTCTCGATAGATATTACCACATTATGGTCAATAAAACCCAGTTATTAAAGGTGGATTTGTATAAGTAAATTATTATTTTTTATTATTAATTACCCATTATTAAATTTCTCGAAAGAAAGAAAAGAAGGAAGGATAATAAGGGAATAGTTATAATTGTGGTGATTGGTTTATAAATATAATATAATTTTTAATCCGATTACTCGATAAGTCACAAAAGATAGACAAGTCATTTTAGCTGATATAATAAATTTTCGAAGTAAACACGGTATACTTGACGATTAAAATATGTGGAACGTGATAAGAATTAAAATTTTTTTGCATTTTTATTCAAATAAAATTTTAAAAACAAAAATTAACGACTCTTTATTTATTCTTTCTCTATTATCAGGTTAAAAATTGATGGATAAAATTGTTTTGTTAAAATAAATTAGATTTATCAAAAACAATAATGAAAATTCAAAATCTTTAGAATTCATGGTATAATTTATAAAAGTAAAAAACAAATGAATAAGAACCTATTTCCTATTGGTTTAGAAGTTTGTAGTTTTTAGTATCCACTATAACTATACATAAATGGGATAGAAATTAATTTTCTGGAACCGTTTTTTTTTTAAAAAAAATTCCGACTCGATTCTCCTTCCCACTGGGTAATGCAGGAATGCAACAATATATTAACCAGGCATATCGATGACATATAAAATAATAATAATACTATCGCAAATGTAAATTCAACCTATTGTTAAAAACTAAAGTTATCAAGACAAATTCACCGGAATCTTATTGACTTATAAAACGTTGTCCCGTCAGAACCCCGACGCCAAACTCTTAAAACGCTCCAAAAAGTTTTTACCGCCAACAACCCTACCCCAATCTTTTACCTTCGAAATTTTGGCGCGTTTCGAGCCAAAGGAGATTGTCGAAAGATACGCATCTCGTTGGGACCTCTTCTCCAGGTTCGAGGTTAGTTATACCTTTTATCGTAAAACGGTATTATAGTGTTTAATATATGAGAGAATTATCAGGCTGACAGGTTTGAGCTAAAATCATTTTTTTTGACAATCTGGTCGTGACTTAAAGAAACCAAATTTTAAAACCGGCCGGATACCGGTTCGCCAGGTTATAAAAGAAAATTATGACCCCCCCCCCCCAGATATTAAAATTGGCTTTGATCATAAAATCAGGTCTTTTATTTTGAAAGAGTCAGTTTAATCTCTCTCATAGGATCATTTGTATAATGGCTTATATCGCCTCCATCCCTATTATTATATACGTATGTGTTTTATTAATGCACAAAAAACATTAATATTGAATAACATTTTTTTATGGCTTAAGTTTGGGAATTTTTTTTATTTTGAAATTAAGACTAGTAAAAAAAAATCTTCTAGGCCGTGTTCTAGGTACTGTTGTTAAAAGGCTCGATTTAAGCCTATTTTTAAAAATGGCTAACTCAATATTTAAGCCACAAAAATATTGTTTAAGCCACACGCGATTTTGTTAATAGATGTTCAAACCTTTGGGCCACCTATGAGCAAAATCTTATGGTTTGCATAATAATTTTCCTAATAAAATATTGAGTTAGCCGTTTTTAAAAATCGGCTCAAAATGAGCCGTTTAACAACACTAGTTCTAGGTCGGCTAAATGCTATATAGCTAAAAAGCAAAATAAAAAATTTTTCCTTTATAAAAGAGAAAGAAGAAAAAAAAACAATGTAAAAAGCAATTAAGTATCCATCCCAAATTAAGCCATAATTACTTATTTCAAATATACTTAAGACCTCTTGTTATACTAACCGCGATAAAGATTATGCGATACACGTAATTCATGGCCACACGATAGCATAGCTATCAATGGGCTGGGTAACCCCGCATTCACATTTAGCGCGAATTTCGCGCTAACCATGAAGGCAGGGAGTTTCAATTATTGCATGACTATTTTTTTTTTAAAATTTATTTCTGCCCTTAAACCAAATTTAAAAAAATTTTTATCCGAATTATTTTATTTTTTAGGTTGGCGAGAAATGCGATTTTAAGGAAAACTTTTTCAGGAATTACGGTTTTATGTTATCTACCCAATCCGATTTCCGACTTATCGTCGAATTCACCGGAAACGCTTCAAAACTATTCTACAACAATAAGAATTCAGAAGGTTTTTATTTATCTCCCTAAATGAGATATTTAAAAAAATATATATTCATAAATTTTCAAAGCCCGACCCGGCCCGTAAAAAATGGGTTCGCCCCGGAATTTGCATATTCTCTATTATACGGGCCATCAAATGATATATAAATTATAACTCTATCTTTAGTATTTTGTAAAAAAAAATAATATTTAGTGAAATCACTCATTGCTTTGATTTTCGACTTTGACGACGTATATCTTTGGATCTGGTTGAGCTAGCGCTCTAAAAATTTCTATTTTATTAAAATTCGCAGCATAAATAACTAATATGCCGAGTTTCATTTGTTTTTGAGATGGTCATCCGGAATACTGGCTGATATCTAATGGGTTGACCCATTGAAGATAAATATGGTTGGATCTAATATTTAAAACAATAAGCAGATTTAGTCTTGTTAAACGGCTCGATTTGAGCCTATTTTAAAAACGGCTGTAATATTTTTTTAAGCCTCGAGATTTCACTAATAGATGTCAGAACCTTTGTGGCATCTATGAGCAAAATCTTAAGGTACATAATATTTTTCCTGGATAAAATATTGAGTTAGTCGTTTTAAATCAGCTCAAATAGAGCCGTTGAACAAAGCTAGGCAGATTGTTCTTTAAAAAAAAATTGTATATATATATATACACTAATATAAATTGGAATTTAAAATTATTTTCTTCCAAACTAATAAAGAATTCCTAATGTATCATCTCTTAATCATTTTTTTTTATTTAAAAAAGACTCGTCTATTAGCATACTTTATCTATGGATAAACCCATTGGGCATAATTCAGCACTCGGAAAATAGGACTTATTCCACCTCTCCAGACGCTGGACAAAGCGAAAAACTAAACGACAGGGTTGATTTTATGAGACCAGAAAAATTGTTGAGCCATAAAGAGGCTCTCTTGCCAGGTAAATTTTATTTTGGTCAATAAGATATAGTATTTTAAGCTCAAAAATATTAAAATAGAAAATTTTCTTAATTATTTACAGACCAGTGGGAATTAGAGTGAAATTTACAATTTAAATTTATTATTTTTTTTCATCGTAGATTAAACTTGCTTTTCAAAAATTTTTTTTTAAAAAATTGGATCTAGTTAGGTTTTCCTATCGATTTTTCAATTTTTTGAAAACTTAAATCAAGCCCTTGTTAATTCCCTGAACAATCTTCCTCTTTATCTAATTCTTGAGAAATCTTTAAATCTTTCCTAGCCTTCCAATATGATTTAACTTTTAAATTCCTTATGAATATAAATTTAAACAATTTCATCGAATCTCTTTTAGTCCTAATATTTTCTGATTTTTTATTGGCCCATCGTCTCCTTGTCTGCACCACGGATTAGGTCTATTCAAAAACGAATGGGAAATGAATACGAATAGTAAATTATTCGTTTTTTTTGAATACGAAAAAATAGTTATTCGATTCGAATAAAACAAATAATTCGAATATTCTACGAATTATTTGAAATAATTTTTTTATTCGAATATTTAATTGTATTCGAATCGAATTATTCGAATAATTGATAGAATATTTGAATTATTCGGAATGATAAATATAACCTATCAATCTAATGCGTCACATGATTAATAAAGTATACGTAAACTTCGTTTGAAAGGTTTTTCTTACTTGGAACTAGTTTGCCATCTTAAATCTCGTGTCTTATATAAAGAAGTAACAATAAGAAAAACTTTTTGCCTTAAAAATTGGATAAAGTTATGACGTAATTTAAATAATTGATGATTATCGAGTAATTTTCTAACCCGTTATTTTTTTATAGTTTATTTACTAATTAGACACTTTTCTTCTTTTCTTCTTTTCGTTTTTTAAAAATAAAAATTAAAAATATAATAAATAATGTATTTAATTGATTATTTATTTATAGGTGTTTGGACCTTGGCCGCCATATTGAGCCACAACCTAACCTTACTACACGAAAAAAATTTTGTCCTACTACCTCCCTATTTCTCTACGAAAGAAAGTCAAAAAAATGATGTTGGCGACCCAGAATTTTATCATTATTTTAACTCCCATTTTTTAGACCCCCTATCCAAAATGCATCAACACAAGAGTATCGAAAAATTAAGCCAATCAAATTTAAAAGAGCTTTCGCGAATTTTATTCTTGCCCGATCAATTTACGAGGGATAACGTGTTTATTGAAAAATTGTCCCTAGATAAAAATCGCGGGAAAAGTAGTACTACGAAACCCGATAAAAATGCCAAATACTCATATGAAAACGCGTTATCCAGATATGAACATGTAAATAACTGGCGGGACCTAAAGTATTGGATCGATTTGACGGTGTCCGCCGTTTGGAGACTAGAATCACTTGGCACCTTAAAGGCTTCTTATTCTAAAGACCAATTTTGTTTAGTTTCAAACCGAAGAATAGTCGATTCACCTGGTAGTAGCCAACGAATTTTAAATCGATTTCCAGAAATATCCGACTTCGCGACACCCATAAATGATAAAAATTTATTAAACTGTTTACTCAACGCGAATTATAGCCAAAATTTTGACCAAAAATTGTATTATTGCGACGATTTATACGTTAAGGGCGGAGTGCAACCAGTATTCCCTTGGAGTTCTTTTTCTTACGACCCCAAGAGTGATGTTAATTGGGCACATTAAAGCCTTTATTTTATTTTTATTGGACCAAAAATTATAATGACTTATTTACAAGATTTAAATTCGCAGTGAAAAAAATAATGCGTTACGATTAGTTGATTTTATCTAAATTCCTATTGGGCCATATTTCTTAATATAACCACTCTTGAAACATATTATTTCGCTATAAGAATCACTATAATACATCCTTTCTGATTCTGCGAATGTTAAAAGATCACATTTCAATATTTTAATATTGCTTAAATTTTAATTATTTATTATTTTTAGTGACTTGGATATAATTTTTTTTTAAAAAAAATCCATGCCTTATTTAAAAGAATTATTTCGAATATTCTAGTCGAATTGTAAATTACCGGTATTGTATTGACATTCTGTAAAAATCATTTTTTTTATATTATAGAAAGAAAACAAAGCTAACAAATAATGATCCCCCATCTTTGTATATTATAAATTTTTTTTTTAAATTTTGAACTGAAATTATTTACATTGTAATATATTAAATCGTGTGATTCATATTATAAACGCATTTACAATCATATATTTTTTTAAAAATCTTCTGGTGTATTACAAGATTTATAAATTTATATTTAAAATAAACAAAATATGGGTTTTAAATGTTTTTTCTTATAACCATTAATCAGGGTTAGAAACCCTACTTAAAAATATTGCTTCGCATGCCACTAAATAGTTAAATTTGGATTGAAGTATACATGTAATGTATCTGTAAATATAAACAATATAGTAGTAGTAACAATTAAAATGGGTTTATTATAGTAATTCAATTGATACAGATATATTTTGACTTAAAATATCGGAAGTGCAATTATGTAAACAAGAACATAATGGATTTGTCATATATATAAATGTTAAATTTATATATAACAAGAAATTTATTAACTTCATTGGCCTAAATCGATACATGTATATATGACCGTACGAAATGAGTTCTTCTTTAAATTTCGGACCCAATATAGAATGCGTTATAGGAGGGAAGTATCGCAATGCATTAGAAACCGCTTGCTAAGATTTTTTTTTTGTAAATTATTTTCCATGACATTTTGCTGGATGCAAAGAAGATAATGGAGATTAAAATTGTGATTGAAAATATGAGTGAATATTAATGATTTAGTATAATTTAAAATTTTTATATAATTTAACATTTGGTATAAAATTGAACTAGTTAATAAATAAAACTGCTGGGTTTAAGTTTTTAATGCGAAATGTTTATCCCAATATATATAATTAAATTATTATTTAATTCATGAATTTCATTGTAAATAAAATTAATTTATCAGGTAAATTAATGAAATATCATATTTTGGGTATATTAAATTGTATTGTAAGTGTAACCATCTTCAGTTAATTTATTAAATATAATAAAAAATTAATTAGAACGCTCTCTGTATCTGGTAAAGATGATTATCTTCTTTAATATAACTATTTGTCCTTCATAATTTGTTAAATTCTCTTATTAATCAAGGGAAATAATTGATTTTGGAATAGTAATCTTGAATTGTCAAAATTTATATTATGATTTGGTATCTATGTATATTCTGTAACGCATGATATTGTTAGGTAATTTTTAATGCTGTTTTTTATTTATATTACCACTGTTCTGCCTGTTTACCCACATATACTTTATCTCATTAGCCGTAACTTCATGGCAGAAAATTTATTAGAGGCAAACCAATCTCTAAAATCTAGACCTACTCCCAATTAATCATGAGTTTTTAATTTTTATTTATTCATTTCAGATATTTTACAAATAATCTTTATTATTCATTGAATATTCTTTTGTAACCTATTGTGATTTGAATGAATTATTTCTTAGGATATATATTAAATTAAAAACCTTGCAATTATTTATGATGAGTGTATAATTATAGTATATTGTTTGGTATGAATTTAAGTTTGATAGAATCGCGTCTTTTTCCTTTTAAATTATCTTTAATATAGTAGGAAAATTTTTTAGAACTAAGTTTTTTTTGTAAAATTACCTATTAACTATAATCAGCGTCTACATGAGCGGGAGGGGTAGGAACAGTTTGCATCCTATTTTTTGAGGGGGTAAGGGATAAGCTGCTCTAATGGGGGTAGAATAATTTTTTTGGAGGGTTATCTATTAAATTTTGAGATGAAATAGGACAAAATTTATTTCTGTAAAAATTAATAATCATAGTATTATTATAATAAAATTCATCGACAAAATCTATATATTGCAAACAATCATGCACATTGTTTTCCAAATAAACTATCCTTTTAAATGTAATTTAAAAGGTTTAGATATTTTAGCAAGCTCATAATGCCATAATATTTAATTCATTGTAAATAATGGAGGTTTTAATTGAATTTATTATCTAAAAAATAAATTCTATATATTCACAAAATATCGATAGTTGGTAGTAGAGATAAATTAATTTAAGTTGTCCTTTATAAATTCTTTGAAAAGAGTATCAATAATAAATAGGTGGAAATAATGTTAAAAAAACTTGCGGCGATTTTTTAAGGGGGGTAGGCAAAAGTTTTTGAAGGGGGTTTGCATCCAGTGAAAATCCTGTCATGTAGACGCTGACTATAATATAAGCAATATATAGATTTGGAATCATGTATATTTCTTAGGTTTATAATAAAAGTATTAAATAAATTTTACAATATAATTTACCACATTTTATCTTTAAATTTATTTTAGATCCTCCTCCCCCCCTTCAATAAATTTAACCTACCCTACCCATTAAATAAATAGCAACCTTCTATTACCCCCTCTCCCTCATCTCATGTTACATAGCTGATATTTACATTATGCCCATTAATTTAAGATGGTCATGCCTGGTACTCAAAATGTCTTATTTATTTTATTAATTAATGAAATTCATGAATTATGAGTAAAAATTAAATCATCATGCTTGGATATTTTTTTATTTTGCAATCCTAGCTTATATATTCTTGTTTTTATTTCATGAAACAAATATTAAAATAATTTTACTATTATAATCAACAAATAAAATAATTAATGTTATTATAAATTATAAAAGAATAAATTATATCGAATTTATCAAATGAATATTTTTATTTAATTTTTTTAAATAAACGTAAACATTCCGATGAGTAGTAGTATTATTTTTATGAATTATAGTCGTTTTATTCAACCAATCATAAAAAGCCACTGATAGTGAAAGTTTCATTAATGTCTATTAAGGCGGCATACTTTATTTTTTTACTATTTCTAAATATTATTTGTACACGTGTTATAGTAATTTACGCTTAAATATTTTAAATTCTTTAAATTATTATTAAATTTTTTTTTTTAAAAACAAAATAATGATTTAAATGTTAATTTTAATTCGAAATAAAAAAATTAATGACCTCATCCGTTAATTTAAATTGATTTATAAATAACGCCTTAATATCCTAATTTAGATAATTTATTAGTTTTAATTTTAGGTATTAGATTGTCAACTATAATTAAAATTTTATTCAAATTCGAAAATGAGCTCTATGGAAATTTCTCAACTAAATTCTAATGGTAAGTATTATATTTTTTATGTTTTTGATAAAATTATTTAAGAAGTTTGGTTATATCTTTTATATATTGAATTAATGATAAAGGTTTAATTATCTGATATCTATTTATTCTAGAATTATTATTAGTCAACAACCACATTAGCCTATATGACCCCAAATTATTTAGTCAGAAGGATGAGAGAGATTTATGTTCCTTATTTAATCAAAAATGCTCAACTCAACATGATGCTGTCCAAAAGCATTACAACAATAACATACTATTGACATCAGACAACTTCAATTTATATTCCAGTGACCTTGAACAGAATATTAGTATTATAGACAACTCTTCTTGGCAAGGTTCGGAAGATTCAACAAATAATGATATAACACATAAAACATCTGGTAGAATTGACTACAATCCATATTATGAAGAAAATGAAAGAATCAACAATGATATAGCATTGCCACCATTAGAAACAGCCAACTTCCTTTCAAGACAAATCGATACCTTTACACCTACTAACAAAGCAGAGAATAATTTTGGGAATCCCCTTAGTCTGATCAAACCACTGAAGGCTGTTTATTACCCCAATTTCAATTTAGCTCATCAAACCTCGAATTATTCGACTAATGAAAAATCCTCCACCAATATGATCATCCATCCAACTTCTAAATCCAATAATAATAATAATACACCATCCCCATATTTATATTTGTTTTTTCGGGTTGGTAAAATTCCTCAAATTTTGAGCACATATTCAATTTACGAAATTTATTGATTATTTTTCTAAAAAAATATATATTTATAAATATAAAATTTTATTTGATATCCCCCCCCCCCCATATATTATTTTATTTTTTATATAAAGCAATTTTTTTTAAAAAAACATTTATAAATGGCTTTTTATTTATAATAAGTTTATACTTATTTTCCCATCATTTAAGAGACTTGATTTAAGACATCAATCAATAAAACAATTTTATATCAAATAATAATTTGATCTAATTTAAAACTAACCTAAATAAATATGCACAGCACACACCCTCTTTTTTTTAAGATTTATTTATAATGATAATGCAAAAAAAATATTTTGCTAAAATTATTTTGTTAAATAAAGGAAATTTAGTTAATAAGGGAAGAAAATAAAGAATTTAGCAAATATATTATAAATAGTTTATATGTGTATAAAATTGTAATATTTTTTAAATGTGGTAATATAATACATCTACACAATGATTTATCGTTGAATGAATAATTGAAAAATTTAACTTATCTCCTCTAGGTGTTTTGTAAATGTGAGAAAATATGCTAATCATTCCTCAATTAATCAAACTGTTAAAACCAAATAAAAAAAATAAATTGAATTTTTAACTTAAAAAAATAAATGTATAAAGAAGAAATTTTTAAGAAATTAGTAAATACTTTATTACCTCCATTTATTTTAACCACTTTTTGTAAGCATAATTTATAAAAAAAAAGAATTTGATTATAAAAGATTTTAAATATTATGTTTTTATAAGTTTTGAAATATTTAATTGTTATTCTAGGTCTGTTCCAACTTTTTATAAATAGAATTAGATATCTCATATTATATATTTTATTTTCTAGTTTTTTTAGAAAAATACTGCAATAAATTAAAATATTCGTTAATAATGACTTATAGTGTTGTGGGCTGGCCTTGAATTCTAACAATTTCCTAAAAAATAAAATGATTTTATAAAAATGAAGGCTATATTTGTATTAAGTAAATATCTAGTACTAGTTACATTTTACCAATTACCTTTATTTTAGTAAAATAAATAAACTAGAAATTTTTGATATAGATTTTGGTCTGCAAATAAAATTGTTAATTAAGGATTAGTAAATATATGGGGGCCTTGGAAAATATAAGATAAACATACTTACTTTTTTTTGCAGAAATGAAAATAAGACATGTACCAGGAATTTGCTGTATTTATGGAGAGATGGTGGTGATTTTAATATAAAATCCATCCTGAAGTTATTTTTGAACATCTAAAATTTCGTAAATTTACTTCTCAGGATAAATGGTTAAAAATGGATGACGATTACTTAATATCTAAATTATTTGTAAAATTATCTCAAATATAAATTTATGCGCCAAAATTCTGTTTTAAAATATTATTGAATATATATAATTGGCATGTAACCTTTATACTGAGAGGTTTTCGGCTGAAAAACTTGGGTTTATCAACTTTGGGATCGGGTGAAGCGATAATTACTAAAAAAAATACCTCCAAAAAAATTGAATATAAATTTTTTTTTCATTTAAAATTTACAAATTTATTAAGAATTATTGATTAGAAAAGTTAGCCCGATTTTTTAATAATGAATTATACTTGAAAAATTTAACACTAAAATATTCTTAAAAATTTAAAACTGGCAAGGTAAAGGAAAATTATATATGTGAATGCTTTTGTGATTGATTTAATTTTTCCATGATTTTGTCGGTATTTGGTGTCAAATCCATATGTATATTTAGAAAAGCCAACCCTTTTAATGCTTAATTTATGAAGTTTCTCATCGACATTTGTCAAAAATCTTTAAGCTCTAAAATACATTTTGCGAATTTATAGTGTCAATGTCAACTTGTTATCTGTATTGGACCTAATTTTTCAAGAAAAAATTTGTTCTGGCACCATTCCTAAAGAATTTTTTTATTTATCCCGAAAAGTCTTACCCAAAATAATATTTGTCCCCTCCACTGGCTGGATACGAGACCTGAACATGTTTGGTTTGATATACAACTCCAAGGTAGAAGTTGACCAAGCCTGGTAAAAATTTTTGAATAGGTTCTAAGCTAAAAAAAAATTCGAAATTCCTTTGCACAAGTTGTCTGACCCTGCCTTCACTGTTAGCGATAATTCCTATCAAAGTTAATAAAAATGAATGTAAAATTATTAATTTTTATCGTATTTTTGTATACTTCGTTGCGAATTCGCGCTAACTAAATGAGGGGTGACCCATGGGCTGGGGCTCCATTGACATCTAATCTAAGGTTACTATGTGAATATTTAAAAATGAAATGTGATACCATCATAAGCTCTTAAACTATAAAGGTTATTGGCTAGGTTCAACAAAGTTGGCATCAAAATTCGGCTGCGTTTATTTTTGATCTTTTTACTGCCATTTCCCTGAATTCACAGTTAGCGCAATTCGCAGTGAATTATACAAAATATGCTGTATTTTTCTATTCTTCCCCGCGAATTTTATATACTTCGCTGCTTATTCGCGCTACTTTGAATTCGGTGTTATGAATAATTTTGACTATTTTTTTTAGAAAAAATTGTTTCAAAGGAGAATTGAGGGGGGGGGGAAGTAGTACATATATATTAAACGATTCATTATAGGATTTTCCAGCAGAGTTATCGGTACAATTTAAATTGGTCCAGGTTTATTAATTTTTTTTAATTGCCTCGGTCTGTTATATTCATATTGGATTTTGATTGAGGCTTGAATCTAAACCAATTCTATAAAACTAATATGGAAAATGATGTTTTTATATTTTTTAATATCAAAATGATAATTAGAACTTTTGTGTGATAAGAACAAGTATTATTGTTCAATTATATTTTGGAAGAAAAATATAGACGAGATAACACTTAGGTGGTGTTTTAGATGGTGCCAGAAAGACGCCTAACCCTTTTTAATTGGGGGATGGGGTTTCAACGAAAACAAATGATAGAATATTGGTTGATCAAAATTGAAACCGATTTTTATTTTTGTGAGATCTACCGGTAACTATAGAAATCCTATCGTTTTGCAAGAAAAAATCAGTTTAAACTCATAGATTAGAGAACCGAGCAGTGCGCAATGTTCTTCTCAGCAGAGTTAGACTCAAATGATGCCCAAATATAATATAAAATAGGATCACGAAAAGAGGACTTCATTAGAGACGTGCAAAATCAAATTTTTCGCAAACCCGCCCGCCGCTCCGTTGGCAATTATTTTAGATCTTGGTCTAGCGCGTGGCCCGTGACCAGATAATAAAAACATCTATAGGGTGCGTCTTGGATCGACTTAATACCGATCAGCCGGTTATTTAGCCGTCTATATATCTTCGACTAAACGGCATATTAATAAGTACGAGAAATAAAAACGAGAAAAAAAATACGAAAAATAACAATGTCATCATATATTAAAAAAAAAAAATTACTGTGTCCTAATTCAAAAGCTCTTATAAGTATCAAAAAATAAGTCGATCCACGACACGGGCATAGGGAAGAAATCAATTCAAAATATTTATTTTATTCTATTGTTTTTTTCCAACATAGGAAGGAAATATAAACATCAACATTTTTCGGATCACGAGCCAATCTCTATTTTATTTTATTAATGATGATGTTACAGCCGGCCAAGCTGACACTGACAGGTCGTTGTAAGACTTGGAGACTCAATTAGAGCTTTCACATAAATAATTAAGTGCCTTTATTTGATAATATTGCCAAATTTTATCTTACAAGCTATCGAGATTTTTTTTCATTGTTCATAAACCTGACATACAATATAATTTACAATTTTTAATTCACATTTTTCTTGGAAAAAAAAATAATGGCTATATTCAAGCCGTTGCGTTATTATAAATCGGTAATTGACAAAAAAATCTAATGGATGCGCCTAAGCGATTGTTTAATAAAAATCATCTATCCAATATCTAGAATTCTTTTCTGATGAATAACGCCTCATATTAGACTTTTTCAAGCGATGAAAAAAGTGTTCGCTTCGTAATCATACCTTCAAAAATACGAATCAAATCGAATATTTGCATTATTCGTTTTCGATTCGTATTTTCGAATCGAATACTTGTATTATTCGAATAAAAACGCTATTCGATTTGATATGTCGAATATTTCGACTCGATTTAAAAATTAAATTCCTTAAAATATTTTCAAAAATGGAAAAAATCAGGGTATGAAAAGTCCCTTATAAAAAATTTTTTTGAATAAATCCTTGAATAATTTTTTTTTAAAAATAAAACTTGTGATTTCATCATGAATAGATTTCTTGTTCATGAAAATTATGAAGGTTTACTTATTAAACTCTTTTCTTTTTTTTTACTAAACATATTTGGAATTTTAGGGAAAATTTGATCAAAAATCTCTCTTTTTAAAAAAAAATCTTCAAAGATTCTGGCTAGGAGGATTTTTTTTTTCAAACTCTGGGAAAAATCTGATTGTTAAAATTTTAAAAATGATTTATAAAATGTAAAAATAAAGTTGGAAAGTTAAAATATTCCTTAAGGAACATATGAAATACTTACAAATTATTTTAAATATTTATGAAAGTTTTAAGATTTACGAATAGTTTCGAATATTCACGAATAATGTCGAAGATATACGATAAACTTGGAATAATATGAAAAAAATCATATTATACAAATAATTCCTTCGAATAATAGGAAAAAAATTATTCGACGATTAATACATATACCTTATTCGTAATCGATTTGAATTTTCGAATCGAATAATTTTGTTATTCGTATTCGTAAAATACGAATCGAATATCGGATAATTCGTTTTAGGTATATTCGTAATTTACGAAAGCAAATCCATAATTGTTATAATTGATAAATACGGAGCAAAGTGATGTTGTCGACAGCTGTTTACGTATATATTATTCAAAAATTTTATTACGAAATCACCTGTAATCTTGCTAGCGATTAATTTCACGTGGTTGAGTAAATCGTGCTTACTACAAACGCAGCTTAACTAGTGCTATACAATAACGTCGTTACTAAGACTGACAATAATACCAATACTTCCTTGGTATAATACCAATACAATCCGATGTAAAATCAGATATTAGTCAAATTTTTACGCCTGGTTCGGATTTGAATTTTTTTAAAATATCCTTTATTTTTGGCTAGTATTTTGCTAATTGTTTCATTTCAAAAGGGAAAATTAAAAATACGAACATTAAATGAATAATTAAACGTATGATTTTTCAACTGATTAATCGATATAATTTCAATTTTTTTTCTTAAAAAGTTGGCCTGCTTCAGCCTAGAAGTTCTTAAACGACTCGATTTAGATAATTTTAAAATTAAAATTATAGTCAAAACAATATTACTCAAGTCTCGAGATATTGTATTAAAATTTATTTGCCATCTACAAGCAAAATCTTTTAGGGTCGCGTAAAAATTTTTGGCTAAAGCCAAAATATTTGGTATTTATTTAAATAAAATTTGAGCCGTTTAACAACGCTAGCTCAGCCCGGATTTATAATATTTTTAAAAAACTGTTAATGCCTTGGTTAGACTTTTAAAATTATCATCATCCCCGTAATCAGATCGAACAGTACACACGCATTAACCAAGGCAAATATACCTCGTAAAATGTCCATGTTAAGGATTAATAAAATAATTATGTATAAATTTTATGTCAAAATATAGATATAATTTAAAATTTTTCCCTTTTTTTTCGCAAGTTGAATTTAAAACTATCTAATCACTTCATCATTAATATTTATAACGTTTAAAAATAGATGAGATATTAATTAAAAATTCATTGACCTCTTAATTTTACATTTTTTTTTAAAAAAAGGTGTCATGTATCCCCCCCCCCCCACCCTAAAAAATAAAAAGAAAAATATCCCAATAAATCTTCCTTTAATTTTATGAAATGAAAAAAAATATAAAATAAATAAATACTAGAATATGATTCTGAAATCAATTATAATAAATTCCTCATTAAATAGATAAATCATCTCCTTTATCTAGAACCTTCCTTTTGATTTATCTGTATTCTCTTTTTTTTTCTCTTTCTTTCTTTTTATTCTGTATCTATTCTATTCTTTTTGTATCGAGACTTTTAAAAAGTTTGTCAAACATTTCATTGTTCATTTATTCAACCTTTTCTTTTTTTTTTCTTCTTTTTTTTTCTTTTCTTTTCTTTTCTTTTCTTTTCTTTTCTTTTCTTTTCTTTTCTTTTCTTTTCTTTTCTTTTCTTTTCTTTTCTTTTCTTTTCTTTTCTTTTCTTTTCTTTTCTTTTCTTTTCTTTTCTTTTCTTTTCTTTTCTTTTCTTTTCTTTTCTTTTCTTTTCTTTTCTTTTCTTTTCTTTTCTTTTCTTTTCTTTTCTTTTCTTTTCTTTTCTTTTCTTTTCTTTTCTTTTCTTTTCTTTTCTTTTCTTTTCTTTTCTTTTCTTTTCTTTTCTTTTCTTTTCTTTTCTTTTCTTTTCTTTTCTTTTCTTTTCTTTTCTTTTCTTTTCTTTTCTTTTCTTTTCTTTTCTTTTCTTTTCTTTTCTTTTCTTTTCTTTTCTTTTCTTTTCTTTTCTTTTCTTTTCTTTTCTTTTCTTTTCTTTTCTTTTCTTTTCTTTTCTTTTCTTTTCTTTTCTTTTCTTTTCTTTTCTTTTCTTTTCTTTTCTTTTCTTTTCTTTTCTTTTCTTTTCTTTTCTTTTCTTTTCTTTTCTTTTCTTTTCTTTTCTTTTCTTTTCTTTTCTTTTCTTTTCTTTTCTTTTCTTTTCTTTTCTTTTCTTTTCTTTTCTTTTCTTTTCTTTTCTTTTCTTTTCTTTTCTTTTCTTTTCTTTTCTTTTCTTTTCTTTTCTTTTCTTTTCTTTTCTTTTCTTTTCTTTTCTTTTCTTTTCTTTTCTTTTCTTTTCTTTTCTTTTCTTTTCTTTTCTTTTCTTTTCTTTTCTTTTCTTTTCTTTTCTTTTCTTTTCTTTTCTTTTCTTCTTTTCTTTTCTTTTCTTTTCTTTTCTTTTCTTTTCTTTTCTTTTCTTTTCTTTTCTTTTCTTTTCTTTTCACAACACAACATATACATAAAAAAGGATATTGAAAAAATAAATATGGATGAAACAAATTATTAAAAGTAAAACTACATTGTAATTTGTATTTTTTTTTAAAAAAGATATAAAATTTAATTACAAAATATGAATAAAATAATGAATTTTCATGACAAAATTAAATATTTAAATAAAAACAATAAAATTTTAGATTATTTCAGCATCTTTTTAAACCAAAAAAAAATATATATATATTAATTTCAAGGTCAAAATATAATGATAATTGACAAAGACCGAAGTGTAAATAATTTAAAACATATAAATATAAAATATTACTAAATAAATAAAGTTACTGTATTACAGAAAAAAAAAATCAGGTTATGACATAACATAATGTAAACATTATTTAATTTATCGATAAATATAAAATTTTTTCGTGATTTCCCACTCTACAAATAAAGGTTAGAATTATTTTGAATCAGAGACCTGCATGCCTGGCCCTAACAGAAGTTCGGCACTTTTTTTAAAAAATCCGGGTCGTGCAAATGGTACCTCTTCAGGTCTTGATTTGAATTAAATGGGTTTCCTAAGCTCCCATTATCGCTCTTTTTTTTTGACTTTGCTGTTTTTATTTTTCGGATCTCTCTAGTCCCATACTCTAAAATTTCTAAGAATAAGGATAGAAATAAATAGGGGGGGGGGGGATAGCTTATTAAAATTTCAAAATAAAAAACCGACAATTTTTAGAGATTCGAATCCTTGGGACCTATTTGCTAAACTGGCTACTAATTATAGCGACTCTTTCTTAGTTCGGTTTGTTCCGGATTTAATTTACTATCGAATAATTTATGTATAAAAAAAATCAAATTGAAAACTATAGCGAATATTAAAGTTAATAAAATTATAGCATTTTATACCCTCTCAAAAGTATCATTAAGACAAGCAACATTAGGTCTCCTCCTCCCTTTCCCTATAATTAAATTATTAAAGTGATAGTTGAATATTTAAATTTAATACATAACATTAAAATAGAAGATGTAAATATAAATTTTTTTTTGAGGTTGAGATTTCTTTCCTTTATAAATTTTTTTTTTTAAAAAAATCGGGTCGTGAGCCATAACTGATCACAGACTGAGATCTAGATCTCAAAAAATTTGCCACCGAGCTGGTAGACCCGGACTTAAAATATTTTTATTTTGAAGGTCTCTGACATTTTTTTATAAAATTAAAATATTATATTACACCTAAATATACTAATATGAATAATTTATGTATAACCGTATTTTTATGGTAATGCCTTAATATATTAAGTTATAATATATATTTATGTATATGTAATATGTCAATATTATTTTTTGCGTATAAATTATGTTATTATATTATTAATAATATTTTTTTGGACTCATTATTTGGACGGCTATACTGCGATAACCTAATAACACTTATTGAATATGAAAAAGTAGATATTTTTATAAATATATAAAAATTCCAACCATCATTTCATGATGAATGTAGGATGACAGCATCTAATAAAGGTCACTGCAAATGAAACAATTAATTTTATGGAAAAAGGTATTATGAAACAATATAATCTCCTACTCTACTCCTCATTACTAGAAAACCTAACATAATATCAAGAATTCCCAAAGGTGCTAGGTTACAAGTTGCTAAGTCTCTCTCTGATTGCATCTCCTATCTATTGCAAAACTTCAACAGTGAGACGGAATGCCTTAAATTGGTTATAATACCTTTAGGCTACCTGATGAATCCTCTAGTCCTATAACGTATCTCCCCATCTCCAAGAGTTTAAGAGTCCCACAATTTTTTATAACAAAAAAGCTTCTCCTATTGAGCTTAAAACTAAACTTATTTTAAAGAAAATCGTCTGTTTAAATATTAAAGGTGCTCTCAAATTGGCTTCTTCTTATGATTCACTAGCTGACCACTCAGAAGAGACATACATAAAACTCCCTTCAAAACAAAAATTTCCAAATATTCGGAAATATCAAGATCGCATTATCTTTCTTCATGGATTTAGAATCTCACATCAAACATACTTGAGATCCGCGAGAAGGATCCTTCCTCAGGCAGATACTGGCTATTACTATCCTTAAAGCGTATTATCAAAGTTTCAATGGCAGTCTTCTCCCCACAGACTTTAGTTAGACTCACTTTTTCTTCCTTATTCTTATTCTTATTCTTATTCTTATTCTTATTCTTATTCTTATTCTTATTCTTATTCTTATTCTTATTCTTATTCTTATTCTTATTCTTATTCTTATTCTTATTCTTATTCTTATTCTTATTCTTATTCTTATTCTTATTCTTATTCTTATTCTTATTCTTATTCTTATTCTTATTCTTATTCTTATTCTTATTCTTATTCTTATTCTTATTCTTATTCTTATTCTTATTCTTATTCTTATTCTTATTCTTATTCTTATTCTTATTCTTATTCTTATTCTTATTCTTATTCTTATTCTTATTCTTATTCTTATTCTTATTCTTATTCTTATTCTTAACATTATTATTTAATTTGGAATTTATTTATAATTTCGTATATAAAATTTGTATTGACTTATATTATTTGATAAATAAAAATATTATACAATATAATAAAATAAAAAAAATGAAAATCTAATTATAACATAAAAAGATTTAAAAGAATCTTTTATATTTATAATTTATAATTTCAATTTTATTATTGTCATTTTCATTTAGCAAATCTTTTAAAAAAACTGAATCCATTATTCATATTCGTAGAAAAGTAAGTAGTAATCTTATTTATGATCACGAGCATTAAAATAAGATAGCTCGGGTGATTAAGCTCTTTATTGGGTATGGTTGTTGAACTAGTTGTGTTTTTATGATTACTGGGAAAAACTTCAACAGCAATTACACAAGAGTCACTAATATTATAAGTAACTTTTGATGAACAATGTCTCCCAATTTAATTATTCTTAGAATATGAATATTAGACCCCCTTAGAAGATGCTAAGAATCAAATATCAGTGTTATCAATATTTATTCATTTCTATTGTGAAGAAGAAGAATTAAATTCTGCAAATTTTTGCGATGATAATTAAATTAAATTTTTTTTATATGCTTAGATATAATAGAAAATCACGTGTGAAGTTTTTTTATGAATAAAAAAGTTTATCATTCACACTTCAATTATAAAGCATAAAATTAGGACGCATTAATAAATTTATGTTTGCCAGCTTATTCATCGTTAATTTCTCTCCTCTCTTTTAGTGGGGTCAGTCACTAGATTTCTAATTTGATGGCTTTTTCAAAATTAGCATAAAATTTGAAAGAAATTAATATTTTTAAAAAAATTTAGCCTCAAAAGTTTTTAAGAAGTTTGAAAACCTCGGCTATACTCCCCCACCACCCATTAGTGAGGATCACAATTCCTCCCAAAAATTTTAAGGAATTGTATGGAGAAGAGATCATCTCTCAATAATCAAAACCTATATTTGATTAACCATTAAAATTAATTATGTCTGAGTAACGTCAGATAAATGAACTTGCTAATAACTGTCTTATTACTTGTCCATAACTGTCATTATTATTATTTAGCATATTTTTTTGCTATTGCCCAATGCTAATATTATAACGAGGACTCAGCGAGGGAACTTCAATAATGTTGGGAGCACACTACTCTTACAACTTTAATTTGAGACACACCTAAAATAATAAGAGCAAAAGAAGAAGATTTGAGCACGTCTATAATGAACGAGTTAACGAGTTGACGATTCGTCAAAGGAACAAATTATATATATCTCCCCCCAAAAAACAGATTAAAATAAAAATTTTCAATTATTTATATATATAAATATATTATTTTTCAAACCAAAATCGAAGCTTCTTATGTGCAATTTTATTTTATTTAATTATTCAACACACGTTCCCATCGAATAAGACGATTTTGCTATATTTTTTTTTTCAGATTTAAGCGCGGTTCCGTTATATAGTATTACAAAAGTTTTCCCAATTAGTATATCTAATAGGAAATTAAATTTATTTTTTGTTTTTTTTTTAAAGATTAAAATTTTTTTTATTATTTGGGTAAGTGAATATATTAATCATAATCAAGATCTATATTTTTAACCTTAATCGACGTAAGGCTTGTTTTTTAGAAAAATATTGGCCCCACCTGTTATCAAGTAAAGGGAAGTTGATTCAATAACTACCCACTTACCTACTAACTCTTTAAGAATCCCCGAGAAATAATTATATTCTAATCCCTTCGTTTTGATAAAATTAATTGTTTGCTACAAACTTTGATCAGGGTATCAGGCCCCGATTTTCCTAAGCTTGACATGACATGATCAATATAGATAGTCGGCAAAGCCGGTTCAGCCAAACTCTACTCTCCTTGGGGAAGAGAGCCAGATGATCGGGTCGGAAAGTTCGATTAAAAATGTTTTTCCACAGGCCGGATATAATCACTATATCTATAAACCATATATCAAGAACAAAGATGGGGGGGGGAAATCTGTACATAAAGCCTAAATATAAACAATTTTTCATTAAATAATTGGGCAGTCAAGGATTTAATTATTCCTAAGGATTTATTTGAATCAGTACACCTGCTAAGAAAAAAAAATTAGTTATTTTTCCGGAAAGGAATCCCTTTTTTATGTAAAAAAAAAGAGGAATTTATCAATATATGATTCTTCCGATGCTGTTTTTTGCAAAAAAAAAAAATTTCTGTCACAATTTTCTATCCAATTATAACCCTAGATGAAATATTTAACCAAAAGAGTAGTCCTGTAAAGGCTATACAATTGGGAGAACAGAGATAGAATGCTTTTTCCTCCCATTACTTTGAGCTCTATGATAGTGCAAGATGATTTTTTAAAAACGGCTGACTCAATATTTTATCCAAAAAAATATCACCCGAGGCTTAAGATTTAGGTAGATGACATAAATGTTCGGGCCTTATATTAGCAAGATCCCGAATACTTAGGCAATATTTCCTACTCCAGATTTTGCTAAGGTAGAGGAGAGCACTATTAATAGGTGTTTTTCACCAAAAATTTTATTAGAATTTTTCTAAAAAATAATTTTGGCGTTTCATTTTTTTTAAATATCATAAAAATGTTTTTTTTTTATATTTTGAATTATAACCGTTATCTAAAAAAAATTCATTAACTTTTACTCATCTATCTTTTGTAGACTTCTTTACTATATTGTATACAATTTTGGGGGATAGGGTAGTGGATGGTGGAGTAGGGGGGGGGGTTAGATGGATTTTTAAAAATTAGTTTAAGATAATATTTAGAACTATTAAATTTCCGATGGGGATTTTCCCTTGAATTCCCACCCCCCTACACATGTGGCCCTACCACAATTACCACACATAGATTGGGCCTAAGTGCTCAACGGGATCCTACACCAAAATTAATCATCCATCCATCTGTTAATGCAAAATGGTTTGTTTTTTTATTAACAATTTCTAACTCCTTTTTTTAAATTATTTTTAAAATTGAATTTTAATTTAAAATTTATTAAATAAGAATCAGGATTTTTATTATTATTTTAGTAAAAAGGATTCTATTATTCGGTAATTTTTCATTTTTGGTGATAATCACATTCGGAGCAATTTATATTATTTTATATTACAAATTATTAGTTTTAAAAATAAAAAATTGATAAAAAATAAATTCATAATAATTAGGATTTATAAATAGAATGGTAAATGGTTATTTTTTTTTATAAATTATTTTTATCATGAAATTTATTTCCCTATTTCCCTTTTGTGAAAATTCAAATTTTTGAATTTAGATTAAACCTTTATTTTATCTTATCTTCTCTAAAAAGAAAAAAATTTAAAGCTGATAAGTTTTTTTATATTATAATAAAATATAACTCTAATAATGTTTAGTAGTTATTTTAGGTATATCCCTTTTACTTTAGCGCTCCTAATCTTACCCGATGACGTCAAAGCTGCCAGATTAGATGCAGTCGATAGTGACGTCAGAGTAACAAAAAATGTCGAGGATACATATTACGACGTTAATGACAACAAAGTTTTTACTCTAGCGGCCATTTTACCCAACAACGAGTTCTTCAAGAGAGACTATAGACGTGCCCTGACAAGTATTTTGAAAGAACATAATCAACAGGCATCTACTAAGAGCATAGCAAAAGTTGTAGCACTCCAAAATAACGATGCTAAAGTGGTGGTATCATTGTCTCAGGAGGGCAAATCGAATTTTAAAACTGTAAGAGACTCTTCAAGAGGCTATGTTAGGAGTGACCACAATGATCCTTTCCGCGACGCTGATAATTTTGATAACTTCAACAATGCCATTGACACCGGGCATTCTATTCGGGGGGATATTGATCAAGTAGGTAGATATATTATCGCAACCAAGAGTCACGTAAGAACCCGCGACTTAAGGGGTCCCGAATTTTATAACGTATCCTCTATTAGTAGGAAGGATGTGGGTAGTTATCCGTGGAAAAATTATGGGAGATACGTGAAACGTTATTATGACAATAAGAGGGACAATCAAAAAAACGATGACAGCGGTTCCGCGTCATCTCACAAAAATGAATCGTTTCCATCTTCTTTGTATCGGCCAGAAAAATCGCTGACCAAATACTTGAGTTACAAGTTGATGGCCAAAGAATTTTACGTGACCAGCTGGGAGCTCGATGATATAATTGACTTGTGTTGCGACAAATTATTGCCGACTCAACTAAGCGCTATCTTATTCGTGAATTACGATTCGGCTTACTCAACCTCCGTGGCATCGACCGTTGGTTATTTGTTCAAATCTTTAGACCTTTTAGGAATTCCATCTTTAATCTGGAACGCCGATAATTCAGCATCCATTTTTCAGGTTTCCTATATATTTAAATGGATGAATGAAATATCATTTATCATATACAGGAAGAGAAGAGTTGGAGGCTAGCCTAACTCACTCCCAACCTTTTCCAAAATAGTATTGTATTATGAATTGCGGTTGTTTTAACGCTGAGGAAAGAGCTATATTTTTTAATATCAGCTGATTCAAAAAAGAAGGGAAATGCGACCAAATCAAAATTTTTCGACTCCATTTATAATCAAAGGAGTTAGAGTTGTTTAAAAAATATATATAGGACGGCCCCTTACTGAGGGTTATAAACTATACAAATATAAACGGTATATTTTCTAAAAAAATAAATATTTCTTTATTCTCGGTAAAAGTTATATTTAACATTGTTGTTATGTGATGATAAAAAAAAATAGAATATAACATAGGACATGGGGTGAGTAAAGAGGGCTAGTAAAAGGATTAGCACAAGGAGTCAAAGTAGGAAAGTTTTGAATTAGCATGGATAATCTTTGCCTTAGGTAAGAATCTCTTCTAACTAAAGAAAAATATGAAAGTATATCTTTTCTTAAAGAATTGAGGCAATGTCCTAAGTCAACTTATTACTAAACAACCGCGGTTTATCCGGATATTTAGTATCTACTAAACATCCTAAAAAGCAAATAAGGGTATCCTAGTTACAAAGCAGTTTAGTCTTGGCTAAAAAGCAATTAAGTATCATCAAAATTGAGTCGAACAAGGGCATAACCTAATAAATTTTCTTTTAATAAGATTATTTGTATAACTTTCCTATTCTAAAAAAAGTAATCCTATTACCAAAATAAGCCATTATTGCACGCAAGTAGAGTTGTTAAATGGCTCGAATTAATAGATTTTATATTAGGATTTTAGCTAATTCAGATTTGCGTAACATTCTTTGGGTTGGCTGTATTTAAAAATCGAGCCATTCAACAGCACTAGGAAAGATATGTAGTGCTGTAAACGTCACTTCAAAAGAAACGCGTTACTCGTTACTTCAAAAGAAACGCGTTACTCGTTACTTCAAAAGAAACGCGTTACCCCTTGAAACAAGTAATGAATAGATCCTCAAAAAAGGTAACGCTGTTAGTAACGACTTTACTTCATACACGTTACTTTGCAACACTAGAGACATGGTATAACGTTTTTTTAACCTACACTGACGATTCATTCATTTAAATGCATATCTAAATAGGCTGGTGTGACATCATTTTGGTATCCCATATAAATAAATAACATTTAGAATCTTATATGAAAACTTAAATTTTCATTTCCAATTTTATAAAAAATTCTTATATGGGAAAATCAAAATGGTGAATTACCAGCTGATTTACTATTCAACGACTTTTAAAATTATCATGGCATTTTATATAAAATATTTAAAATTATACACAAAGAATTCTTTAAAACAAATAAAAATATGAAGAAAAAAAAACCACATTCTATAAAAACGGAGGTGGGACTACAAGTTCCCCAAAAACATGTTAAAAGTTGTAATTGTATCATATAGTTTTATTTAAGTAACAAATTTTCACAAATTTTTCATTTACGAATTATAATTAAAAATATATATATAAAAAAACTAATAATATATAAAAAAGGAATTAAAAAATAAGTATGTATAAAAGTGAAATGGGATAAAAAAATAATAAAATAAAATTTAAAAAAAAGGGTAAAAATCACCCTAAAGAAGAGTGGATGCTTAAAAAATTGAACCTGCAGATTTCCAGGGAGATCTGCTGACGAAGGTAAAATCCTTCATTGGGGTCCCCTGAGATCTGCCTCATTTTTTTCCTATAGTTTTGATGAAATTGAGAGAATCATTTCCGAACATGCCTAAGGTATTGGTAACGATTGGGATAAACACGGTATTGGTGAGGCAAGCATATTTGTTTTTTTAGGATTTCGGCCTTTTCGATGGCAGAAAATGAGTAGTTGGACTTGGCGGCAAAATCCACACAGGTATATTCCCAAGCTAGGGGAAGACCATTAGTCCAGGGAATGAGAGATATGCCATCGGGGCGTGTGACGTTTTCGTTTGAGAGGCCCACTGGTTCGAGGGTGGGTGGAATATTAACTTTTTTAAGAGCAGCTAGGAGGATGTTGTTAATAGATTTATGACGCGATTGTCGTCCATGGGAGAACTTGCAGTGAAGGATGGTAAGCTTTCGATTCGATGGGATGGCCACAATCGATGCAAATGGGGGAACCACGGCATTACAGCTAAGGCGGGGGGGGGGCTATGGAAATGCGTAGCTGTTCTCCAGACAATAAGAGGCCTAGGTTGGAGAACTGGGGATGGCTATCGAGCCATTCGTAACCTGAGCTTGCATATAATACTAAATTATTGGGATTGTCCTCAAATGGCCTGTTCGATATAAGGTATTCAACGGAACGGGCGATCAGAGGAGCATCTCAGTTTCTTTAGGTTCTGATGTAAGGGCTCTTATTTTGCTGCTTATATTTTTTAATAATTTTGAAGTTCCGCTTGACGTATGTCCAAGGGAAGAGATAATGATTGTTAAAAAAAATATAATTTGTTAATCTCGGCTATATCAACCGGGTCAGAATTTAAATATTTTGGAAATGAATCGTTGCCAAGAGAAGTATTTACAGGTCATTTGGGTTTGATTAAACTAATAGGTAAACTCTTCTCCAGGCAAAAATTATTTATATTATTTTATAAATTAAATTTAAATTTCTAAGCAAGTCATTAAAAATTAAATTACGATATATTTGATATTTCATTTAATAATCGATGTTTTAAATCTTTTAAATGCAATTATATTAAAAATAATTATAATACAAATATATAATTTTATAACATTTAATCCGCAAGGTGGCATTTATTGTTATTTTATCTGGAAGTCGGTCCTGTCCCGTCTGGTCATAGTGAGTAGGATTTGCAAAGTCCGGCCTGGCAAAAAGCCTATCCCGCAGGCCTGAAAAATTTATAAAAATAAATAAAAAGAGGCTGGTCGGGCCGGAAATTAGAAAAAATTATATCGAGCCAGGTGACATGTAAATAGTTTTTAATCCGCGTCGCACAATTCATACAAAAAATTTATATAATGATAAATAAAGGACAATTAAGTGCAAACAACAAAATGGCGCTACAGCTGACCTCCATGTATGGACACTTTTATTTAATGAATGGCTAATCTAGTTAGCATATTTAGAAATCTATTGGGATTCGTAATTTCTAAATTTTATAGATTTCTAACTATCAAAAATATGATTTTACCGGAAATGTATTCCAGCTTGTGTAGTACCATGTAAATTTTCAGACAATGTTCGCCACAAACTTTTGTATATTCCTTTAAAATTCATATGAAAAAAAAATAAAACAATTTAAAAATTGATATAAATTTAAAAATACTTCCATAGTCTTTGCGCAAAATTGTTTGAAATTTACAGCGTGAATGCTCTATACATGTTGAAATACATTGGTCAATTCAGATTTTTTTTTGGCCGGGATTCAAGCGGAAAAGGAATGCAAAAATCCCTATGTTCCGAGAGGTTGATAAACACATTTTGGATTAAATAATAAAAAGATTAATGGGAAAAATTATTTCATATTCCTTTCCAATAAAGAAATACATAATTACTACTACGCTAAAAGAATATATTATAAAAAAAATATTTTATCGAGTATAAATATTATTTCTTAAAAATATAATTTAAAAATATAAATTATAGAAAGATTATTAATATTTTTCAGAGACCTGCAAAGGTACAATTTAAGGCCCGGCCCGGCCCGGATTTTTTCAAAATATATTATATTTATTTTTGATTTTTATAGCTAATAATGGCGATTTAAAATATTTGGTTTGAAAATATATGGCCCGGCCCGGATTTTTTTTTAAAAAAAATTTCCAGTGTATTATTATATATGTTAAAATTAACGTGTGAATTTTTCCTGCAATATGTTATATTTTTTATTTTAAAGCATTTTTTGGGCGCGTTTTTTTAAATTTAAAAATCTGAGTTTACCGAAAATGTATGATGTCATGTTTGGAATACATATCCTATGAATTTCAGACAATTTTTCCATGAACTTTTAAACTTAATATAATTTATATTAAATTTTTCTATACATATTTAATATAAATTATAAATGACTCATTAACAGCAAAATTATGAGATTTTTAAATTTAAAAAAACGCGCTTAAAAAATGATTTAATTTTGTAAAAATAACTCATTGCCGGGAAAAACACATTTAAGCTAACTTTACATATTATCCAATGTCAATCAAATAATGTTTATTAAATGTAGATTCGTAGATTTTATATTTAATTTTATACAATATCATATGACAATTTGATAATTTTCATGCATGTCGAATATCAAAAGAATGTCAAAAAAATTTTTATTCTAGGGAATAAGAATGGAATTTTGATTCCCTTTGTAAGCTAAAAATTATTTAAAAATTTAAATGTGTTGTGAGTTATTAATATTATTTTAGAAATTTACAATTTTGTAATAATTTTTTAGCATCTTTATATAACAATCATTTGAATAAAATTATATTAAACATCTTTTAGTTTTTTAAAAAAATAAATAAATATGACAAATAATTTTTAATAAAATTTTTGACACAAGTTGACACTAATAGCGCTTAGGATAAAAATTTATAGGTATAGTAGAATAGTATTAGAAATCTTTTAATAGTTATTATTGCGAATGAATTGCAATGAGTGTCGATCACAGTGAAAGATTTTTTTACCAATTTAACGAGAATAGATTTGCCTGAAAAATTTTCCGAGAAATCATTATTACGAATGATGCGAATGAAGTTTAAGCGTTGAGGCCTAATATGAATAAAATAAATATTTGTTTTCTTAATTTTACCGTAGCTAGGTAAGGGCAGCGAGTCCTCTTCTACCTCGGTGGGGGTAAAACAAAAGATCGCCAATAAGATCTAAGCCGATGCTTTTCTGTATACTCAGTTAGAAATTTATTTCAATACCTTTTTTTTTAAATAAAAATACTTTTGCTAAATATAAAATTAAAAAAAAATTATTTAACTTTTTACTTATTTTTTTTTTTCAAATTAATGTTTATAGAATTGTTTACAATTTTTATTTTATTTTATTAGCCAAAAATGTTATTCGCGAGAACATGCAAATTTCCGATGGGGATGGAAATATTCATATTTTCCCTTTGGTTACGACTAGTGTTATTAAACGGTTCGATTTTTGAACAGCCGACCCAATATTTTAGTCAAAAAATATTAAGCAGACCTGGGGATTTTGCTCGGACATTTATTAACGAAATCTCAAGGTTTGCAGAACATATTATGGCTATTGGATTAGCCATTTTTAAAAATCGAGCCGTTTAATAAACAATAGTTATACGACTATCATTTATCATAAAACTGAATATTCTTCAACTAATCGTTTTTTTAGCCCTATCTTAGAACTTCTTTTAGATTAGTTATCATTTACAGAAATTTTATGTTTTTAATCTTGTTTTATTTGTTTTTCCTATATTTTTAATTTTAAATAAATAGAAAAAAATATCATGTGTAGAACGATAATAGCTGAACTCTAGTTATGTTCAGCTGAAGGGAATTTTTTATAATTAGATGAAATATATTTGAAATTAAACAAATATCCGAAGTGAGGAGTAGGAATTAAAGGTTAGAGAGATATGGATTAGGATTGAGTAAAATGTATTTAAAAAAATGACGTTCAAAGTTTTAATCGTTTTCCTATTATTAACAACCTGTTAAATCTGGCAAATCTGATTATAAACGGACGAATAGAAATTTAAATAAATCAGCTGTGCCAACGACAAATTTTCTTGAGTTTCGACTATAATTATGTAAACACAATATTCGTATACGTTTTCTTTTATATCAGGAAACGTCCCAAACTAATATGATCCAACTAGCCCCGACCATAAAACATCAAACTTTAGCTATCCTTAGCGTATTAGACAGATATTCCTGGGAGCGTTTTGTTGTGATAAGTAGCAAAAATATCGTGGGAAAACAAGATATAATATCTGGCATGCGATATTACGTTTTGGATCCTAAATCAGTCTTCAGAAAGTTTTTTAAAAAATAGATTCTTTTCTTTTTGGAATCATCCTATTTTTTTTTAAAAAAAAATTTGTATATGTTAGGCGTCAATGTAATTTTTCCGGCAATGTGTTATTTTTTCAACTTCAAATCATTTTTTGTGAGCGCCTTTTTTAAAGTTTAAAAATCTGATTCTACCCGAAATGTATGTTTTCAGGTTTGGAATATTACCTACCCCAATAAATTTCAGACAATTTTTCCAAGAACATTTACTTAATGTAATTTATATTGAATATTTCCATATCTTTTTTTATATAAATGACTACAAAGTTACCCCTAAAATTATCTACAATTCATAAGATAGGCATTCTAGTGCTGGAATACATTTCCGATATAATCAAAATTTAAAAAAAACGAGCTCAAAAAACGATATTAAGTTGAAAAAAGTAACACATTGCAGGAAAAAATACATTGACGTTAACATGTATATAAGTTAAGTCTCATTAAGGGGGATTATGCAAATTATTATTTCAATCTTATCTTATATTCAGAAGACTAGAATTTATATTTTACGCTTTTGCCTGCATACAATTTTAATTTTAATAAAATTTGAATCTTTTTTTGGGGATAATTTTGATAAATTATGGTAATTGCTGTTCCCTTATAGGAACATCGAGCATTTAATCCGACGGCACAAGAATACAAATTATTCTTACATTTTTTTAAAAATAATTTAGAAGTGCAAAAGGATATATATTATAAATCAATTTACAATTAATATGAGATATTTTATCGCAGATTTCCCTAGTCATTTATTTTAAAATGGCCGTTATCCAAATATAAAATAAAGCTATCAAAAAATGAGACAAATATAAAAATGACTTTTATTATCTAAATCAGAGATTGGGAGAAAGAAAGAACAAAATTTTAGGCTTGACTTAAATTTTAAAAAAAGTTCCAAGAACTGGTCTGGCCCTAAATTTTTAATATTTCATTTTCAAGCCTGGCTATTTTTCAATAAGGCCTGGTTTCTATTTTTGATCATTTTTCGACCCTGTCTAGAATTTTAAAAATTCCGTCATTCTTAAAAATTTTGTATGTATTTGGTGAATCATTACAAGGGAGGGGGTGCTCGAGCTTGAAAAATATAAAGAAATTCGAAACAAAAATGACAAAGATAAGGATGTTTCCTCTTGTTTTATCAAGATTGAATAATAATTACAATTTATCTTCGATAAGAACGGATGGGTGCTAAAATGGAAATCACTAAGAATTGAGAATAACGTGGTAATCTGGCTTATATCCTACCTAACAAAATTTTAAAGCAATATTGAAAATAAAAATGATATTGATTTGACGTTTCGTGTGTAAACACTTGTAATTAAATTGAAATTTTTTTTAAAAATTAAATCGCTAAAAATGAAGTATGGGGGAAATATCTTAAATATTCCTTTGGGTAACCCAAGAGAATCGTTCGATATCTTATAAATGATTAATTCTTTTTTGAATTAAAAATTGAACAGGGAGTATATTTGATATAGTATCACTTTGAATATCAATAAAATTCTAAGCGATTTGAAAAAAGGGGTAGAGTAAAGAAGAAGAATACTCGATAAAGCAAGAATCAGTTAGGTTGACTGTATATCCTAAGAAAAACGTGCCAATTACAATTAGCCAAATGTTTTTTTGGAGAGAGCAATCAATTTGGTGTAAAGAGCAAAGGTTTTATAAAAGCGAAAATAACTTATTTATGTTTGGCTGTGAGGTGAGGGTATTTAGTTTATAAGACTGAAGGATGGAACGTAACTCCAAAGATAATCAAACCGGAAGAAAAGAAATGGAGTGTTCCCACTCTCTCTTATTTCAAATTTATTTATTTAGTTCATTTTTTTCGACCATTAAACTTTGTAATTCTTAAGTTTGAAAGAGCATGAAAAGCGCAACTGAGCAATCAATGACTCCAAGAAAGATGTTTAATCAACGGCAAAAATTAGCCATCAAAATTAGTAAATGTCATCTTCCTTTCCTAGTTTCATTTATTTTTTTGGGCGCCTCCATTTTGCTATCTACACATACATTTGTAATTTTAATTTTTTTAAAATTTTTATTCAATTTTCATGTTGTATTCTATATTTTAATATAGTTTCTATTTATTTATTATTTTTTTTAAAATAATAATTGTATAAATTTTGCCACCTATATTTTTGTAAAAATTTTAAAGTTCCGCATGACTTAGGTCAAAAGGGAGAGAACGATTGGTAAAAAATAATAAAATTTGTTAATTTCGAATATTTAATTGTTTTTTTTTCTAGGTTATATCATCCGGGTCAGAATTTAATTTATTATGGAAATGAAAAGACACATGTGAAGTCCCAAAAGGATTTACCTAAATACCAAGGCACAGAAGTTACGCCATCTGGTATTACACCATCATCTAATGACAAGTTAACAGGCTCCAAGATGTTAGGTATTCAGGTCTTAGAGAACGGCTAATAACTGTATTAATTGCTGCGTATCTTGTGACTATATATATAATTAAGACCATGTCTCCCTTTGGAATCTACTAATATTTTGCATTTTATGCATGAACTTTTATACATCTCAATTTATAACGATAAAAAATAAAAATAAATTTTCAAAATAAAATTTGAAAATTAAAAATAATTCCGTTTTTTTTTAAATGTAAAAAAAACCGAAAATTTATTTACAAAATGTTTTTTTTTCTATATAAAAAACAATAATTTTTTATTTCATCTTGACAATTATCCTCTTTCAAGGTTAAAACTATTTTAACTGTATTTTATTAATCTAATAAAATAATTTATAGTATTGTAGTTGTAACATAATTGAAATATAATATCTTCCCATTTTTTCGTTTAAAAAATTTATCTATTTAAATGACCACAGTCAAAACAAATTTATTTTATTTTATAAAAATAATATAACTAAATTATTTTTTTTTAAATGATCCAAAATAAAAACAATTTTTTATGTGTAAAATGGTCGATTAATTTGATTATTATTAAAAATAAAATATATCTAATTTTACTAGTGTTGTTAAACGGCTCTCAACATTTTGTTAGGAAAAATATTATGCAACCCTTAAGATTTTGCTCATAGATGGCACAAAGGTTTGGATTGGACATCTATTAGCGAAATCTCGTTCTGGCTATATCGGCTTAAATCGAGCCTTTTATCAACACTTTAATTTATTATTATGTATTTTTTTTTGTTTAAAAACATATAAATTTATTATATAGGGCTCTTCCAAGTCGAAATATTATATCTATAAAAAAGGAGACCCGCATATTGTACTTAATTAAACCGCTAATCAATATTATAGGATTTTTTTTTTCTTTTCGAAAAATTTCAATCAGTAGGAGGTGGCCTATTCATAAAATGAATACAAATCGTTGGTAATTTATTCGATTCGTTACCAAGAAATATACTATTTGCAAGCGATTCTTTAAAAATGAAATTTAAAATGCAAAATTTAATTTATATAATGCCAAAACGAACAATACTAGTTCATTTTATCATTTGCGAACTTTTGATATTTGAATTTATTTTAAAAAAGATTCTTTCTTTCTTTTTTCTTTCTTTCTTTCTTTCTTTCTTTCTTTCTTTCTTTCTTTCTTTCTTTCTTTCTTTCTTTCTTTCTTTCTTTCTTTCTTTCTTTCTTTCTTTCTTTCTTTCTTTCTTTCTTTCTTTCTTTCTTTCTTTCTTTCTTTCTTTCTTTCTTTCTTTCTTTCTTTCTTTCTTTCTTTCTTTCTTTCTTTCTTTCTTTCTTTCTTTCTTTCTTTCTTTCTTTCAGGCTTGCATAATATTATTTTGGATAAACTAAAATTTGACGAAATCGATCAGTTTAACTACACTACTGAAAAAATGACTATTTACCATAATTAATATTCAAAAATTTTATTTTCAAAATCGGAAGTAATATTTTATATGATGGGTAATTAAACCGGGTATTTTGGTCTGTAAAAATTAAAATGAGTTTTTTTTGTTTAAGTTTTTAAATTCCTAAAAATAAAAATAATACGAATTTTATTTTAAAATTCTATTCCTCTAGTTTCGTTGACCAATTTTTTATTCAAGGGACCCCATAGGTCTCCAGAGATATTAATTTGAAGGCAAAAACATCAATATTTCACTCCTTAAAACATCCCCTACCTCCGTGAAAGATACACGGAGGTAATTCTCCTTCTCCTACCCTTCATGTTGACATGGGTAGATATAATACCGTCGATTTAAAATTCCCAACCCCACCCCTTGAATTAAGCAAACTATTGCAAAAATGTACTTTTCTTATTTTGAAATGAACCTGTCAAAATAATAATATAATTGAATTTTATATAACAAGATTTAAAATCTTGAAGATAGTCAAATTGGAATCGTTCACTCAGAATGATTTAGTGACGAGTCTATACCCACTGACGCTAACTACCGCGCGAATTTTTGTATTGCACTCTAGTAGGGATGAGGCCTCGAAAATCTTTAAAAGTAATAAACATAATTATATTAATTAAGTTTGATATTTTAACTTATTAATTATATTAAAAAAAGTTTAATAATTTTCAAATTTAAACCATTTGAAAGGTCAATTAATAAACAGGGCAAACCCCAAACCCTACTTATTACATGCTATTATTTGGATATGGCGACATTTTTAATTTTGGAATTTAGATAATAATTACATTGTATTATGGTAATTTTGTTTAATGTTCTTCACACTCTCCACTCCAAAAAAGTTCTGGTCTCCGAAGACCAACCAGATAAGGGGATTTAAAAATTCGGTCTTCCTAATTATAACATGGAAAATGGTTATAACCAGCTTATTCTTTCAAAATTTGTATTGGGCGCATACTTAAAACCAATTTAGAAATGTCTCATAACAATTTTATATATAATAAGGTTTTGCAGATGCGCCCAAGTCATTTAAAAAACCATCCACGCTAAAAAAAAAGATACATTAGTTTTGTAGTCGCAGGCCAGGCAACTAGGAAGAATTAATTAGAGTATATTTTTAAGGAAATTTAAGAACGATAAAAAATTTCAAATCAAAATTAGCACAAAATTGGGAAATCCAAATCCAAATTTGTAAAAAAGGAGGATTTCCCAACCCCTCGCATTCTTTTCTTATTCTAATGACGATAGCATCTTCACAACTCCTTACTCACAATCCCTTCAATTTCAATGAAAATATTGACCCCCCCCCACTCTCATGTTAAAGTGCCTGAGGGAATTTGTTGTATTTTACCTACAACATAATACTTTCCCTAAAAAGAATCATTCTTTCATTTAGATGTTCAAAAAAAACTAAAATATTCGCGAAATAGTTTTTCTTAAACTCCAGAATACATCTAAAAAACAATATCGATCTAGGGGATGCATGCAAGAGAGCACTTTAGCATAGTTTTATTTCTTTATACGATGACCAATGAAAATTAAGGTGCCAGTATACAAATCCCAAAGTAAATAAGGTACGTAGTGTGGGATTGTTCATATTCACCCAGTGATAAAAAAAAGTAATTTAAATAAGATTTCCTAAATATGTGATTCAAAGAAAAGGAATTCTTAAAAATTTTTTTACAAAACTAAAACCATCATAAACAAATAAATTTTTACTAGATTTAGAAGATTAATAATGGGAGAGATATAAATGCCAACCAGTGTCAATAATAACTCTGTCAATTCAATGGCGTTTTTAGCAAAGTTGATCTACAAGGTAAATATGCAAATCAGATTACTTTGATCTGATCACAATCCTATTCGAAATCGATCACATCGTAATTAATGATAAACAATTAAAATAGGTGTTAACTCCTAAACCAGTAGAATTGAACTGCCAAACGTAACTATTTATCACCCCCCCCCCCCCCCTCGAAATTCGAAAGGTTTTATGAATTACTTCATTTCATTTTATTAGCTAATTTATATTAAACCAATCCAAATTCTTTAAATTTAAAAAAAAAAAAATTAAATCAATTTTCTCTTCCAATATCAGATAAAATATAACCTCGTTTTCAGATAATAAATTATATTAATAAAGAAATTATTTCAAACTGATATCTTTACAATTAATATTAATAATCTAATCTATGATATTTTTGAAACATGAAAGAACTGATATTCTGTGTTCCGATTAAGCTATTTATCTAATAATCACGCCTAAAAAAATGGTATTTTTTTTACTATAGGAAATTTATCAAAAAAAGGCTTGATATTAAAGGGTTAGGCCGTGTCCTTGTGCGTCTTATTTCTAACAGTCATCTGTTTAACCATCCACATCGCGTCCTTTAAACAGCCTGAAAAGAAAGAAGCTATTTAGATTTTACCTAAAATATCATTTATCTCTATCTGAAAAAAAGAAGAAATATAATAAATAATTTTTAGTATAAACTTTGAAATGAATCAATATAGTAATAATTTTTATTTAGCTAATAACTATTTTTCCATATGGCGGTTAACTAAATTAATAACGGAATTTATATACATTAATTAAGCACTAAATAATGGCGAAAACCGGATGTTAATACTACTCAAGTTTTTGTTTTGGAACGTCGCCAATATTTGTTTATTTTTGTTTTTTTCGCCAAAATTTTTTTATTCTTAAATTCGGCTACAAAAGTGATTGGAGCACTAATAAGCACTAACGAAGCACTAAAAAATGACATATGATTCATCGTTAGTGCTTCCAAATGTTTGGCCAACTTCACGGAGCTAATATAGAGTGTTTTAGTTCAGAATCTGTTTAGCTCGTAAGTTTCAAAAAAAATAATAAGACGAAACAGGGCAAGAAGACCTTAATAATTATAAGTATGAAATAATTTATCTTAAAAAATTCTTATATATATATTAAGTTGCGAATGATTTGAAGCTAACCGGTAAAGATTATATGTGGATAGTTACTCAATCCGTGGTCGGAAATACTCAGGAATTTATGGATTTTGATAAACAACAAGTTTTAAAATAGACATCATTTTGATCCCCAGCACAATTCATAAATGTCTTTCTCCAAAATATTTTTTTTTGTTGTTGTTAAAAATAAGATCTACCCTGTAGGGATATTCGGCGTATACTTCGATAATACTCCCGAATCGCTGGTCGAACAAATAGAGATAGGTACTGCGGTGTTCGCTAACGGAGTTCACGATTTCGTTATAAAGGAAAACTTGGCTAAAATCGACAACTTCTTACTAACCAAATCAAATTTATCCTGCCATAATCCTTATTCCAGCGATTTGATAGCTCACCAAGAAGGCTCGTTACTTTACGAGTAAAATAAATAATGGCATACCATATCATATTAACACCAATAACCGTGATTTTTTTTACTATGAAGGATTTTAATTTTTAGGGCATATACCTAGAGGTCTGCGAAGTAATTTTTCCGCAGCCCAGCCCGACCCGAGCTCGAATAAAATTTCACAATTTGAGTTTGAATATTATAATAACCACCCCTCCCCCCCCCCCCCCATAAATGTCACTCAATTTATTTTACGACGTTTCTTCGTATATATTTTTTTTAAAACTATTCTCGGTCTTTAAATAATAGTTTCTAGTCAGTAGCAATAAAATTTATATTCAGATACCTACAAAAAAATCAAAATTTTCGATCCAATTTCCCGAGTCCAAACCAATGATATATAATAATACCTAGACTGACGATACATTCATTAAAACTATGCCCCAATGAAAACAGCTGTGGACGTCATTTTGATTACCAATATCATTATTAAAAATTTTAAACGAGAGGCCAATTCCTATGTCTGAAGCAAACTTTATTAAAGAATTGCCTGATCATCGAGATAATAAGGAAGCAAATTATCAATTTAATATAACATGAAAATAATTACTATATGGGTTACCAAAATGGCGGGTCCAGCTGATTTGCATTCAACGACGATCTCAAATGCATTATTATGAATGCATCGTCAGTTTAGGTATTATTATATGTCATTGGTCCCGAACAGAAATGATATAGCATTTAAAAAAAACTAAATTATAACTTCCGACAAACAAAAAATAAAAGAAATTGCAAAATAATATACAACTAAAAAACATGGTTCTCCTCCTGATCGGTAGGTTGCGGTTTTCTGGGGGTGGAGTTGGGGTTTTGCGGACCTCTAATGTTTATTTATTTAGAAAACTAGAAATAGTAAAAATAATTCAGAAACTTCTCTCTTTTTTTTGTTTATGCTGTTAGTGGGCATATTCTTTACAACTAAAACCTATTTAACAGATCCTTAATTCAAAAACTTTCTCTTCTTGTTGATGTAGGTTGTTATAGGTTTATTTACAGCTAAATATAAAATAAAAATATTTCTATTTTGAAGTAGGATTAATTAAAATTCGTAAATTTAATTTTAGTTATTTCCTAAATGCTAATTTCAACTTCGGGTCCTCCTCCAAGAAGAATGTCTCGTTCGGCGAGGATGGTACATCCAAAAATATTCAATTAGATATCATAAATCTCAACACAGAGCGGCAATGGATGAAAGTTATTCAAAAAATCTTTTTTAAAAATAACGAATTTTTGAGTAATAACACATACAAATCCTCTCCTTATCTTTTGGGAGCTAAGTTCTCTATATTAATAGGGTTTGAAAATTAGATATATACCATATAATGGAGTTTATATTTTTGTGTCTACTAGATAGGGAAATGGAATTTGGATGAAGGTCTGAAGATAAAGGACATAGTTTGGCCAGGTAACGAGCATCTCCCACCGAAGGGTATTCCAGAACAATTTCATTTAAAGGTCACCACATTGGAGGAACCCCCATTCGTTATTATAATGGAGATAGCGAATCGAAACGAAAATCGTGAAAGAAATGATGATAAGAAGAGCCAGGCTAAAGATAACGATGATGCTGAAACGCAAAACGAGAATAAAACGAAAGGCGTTCAGTTAAATAATTATTGCAATGGCGGGATATTGTGCAAGCCTATCATGGATGAAACCACCTTGACAATTGAAAAGTAATGTTTACTTTGTTGTATGTATAAAATATCGATGCGTATTGCTCATTTTGTTAAAATTGAGTATTTAAAAAAAATTGACATTAATTTTTAGTGTTTTAAAAATTTTGTTAAAATATTGGGCAAGTTTTTTTTCCTTGTTTTTTTTAGATTTAAAAAACAGTTTAAAAAAAAATAAATGTTTTATATGTTTTTTAAAATCCTTAATGCCAATCATTTACTTTTAGAATTAATAATCGTACCTATTCCAATGTTTGGACTTGTTGTTCAGGTTATTTTATAGACATTCTCGAAAAATTAAGCCAAGATCTGGGTTTCACCTATGATTTGACATACACCACAGAAGAACATTCCATTGTTTCGGAAAAAGTAATTATATTGATTATATATTGAGAAGGCAGAAGTTGGACCTTCTAGAATCTTCTGGTGTATTGATTATTATTCTTTATTTTGATAAGGGTAAATCGAATATATTAGTCGATAGCTTGCTAGAAGAAAAAACGGAAATGGCGATAGGATTAACTATAACATCGCAAAATTCGGAGATCATAGACTTCTCGATACCCTTTTTAGAGACCGGTATTGCTATTGTGGTGTCTTTAAGAACTGGGTCTATTTCTCCCATCGCATTTTTAGGTAATAAATAATTAATATTTAACCTATGCGAACTTTACAGCTTGTCCGACCCAAAACCCGGCCCGGTTACACGGGCAGGACTGTATTTTAATTTTTTTTAAATATACCGGGCCGGGCCCGAAATTTTTTCAAATACCCAGGACGGGTCGTATATTTTAAATCGTCATTATTAGCTATAAAATTTAAATATAATATATTTTTAAAAAATACTGGCCGGGCGATGCAAATGGTACTTCTGCACGTCTCTGATATAAAGCTTATTTCAAACGTGTAAAGTATATCATTCTAAACTTTAAAATTTAATATTAACGTTTCAAATCTGTAAAATATGCTTTTCAAAACTTATACTAAAACCCTTATAATTTCAAATTTATATGCAAAATAAGTAATATATTATATATTGATATTTTATTTTGCACAAGTGATTCAAATGCTACAATTCGAGTTTAGAATGATACCATGATAAGTTTAATTTTTATCAAAAAACAAAATTTGAAAAAATATTATATCTTAAAAACATCTTTAGGGCTAATATCAAATTTCGGTAGCGGTATCAATCACCTAAATTTAAGTTTAATTCTTTGAAAAAATAGATTTTAGTTGGCTCTATATATTTTTCTTATTTTTGAAAGCCATTTTGATTAATTTTTTTTTTCTTCTCTACTTTTTCCCGAAAGGGATACAAAACGCACCAGTATTTCATGCGCTATTTCCTAATTTTTCAGAACCTTTCGATTATGTGACCTGGATCATGATATTGTTGATATGTATACACGCGGCAGCCTTTTCCATTTTTCTGTACGAATATATTAGTCCTATGGGATTCGACATGAAGAAACGCAACCCTACAAGTTTAAAGAAAACATAATAAACTTCTTTTATTCTTTAAAAAAGATTATATGAACCCCAAATAGATTTAAGGAATTTGTAAACTCTGTTTATGACAGGAACTAAATTAAAACCATTTTCTTTAAAGGGGCCTTAACCCGCTCCTGGTCCATATTACCCCAGGTTCGAGGGGTTATTTATAAATCGGTATCTGTTTGATTAGCGACTTCAAAATGTTCAAACCCAAGCGTTTTTAAATTCCGGAACCATCTTATCACTTGGTTTTATTTAGTACATAAACAAAATAGAATAAAATATCTTAAAACAGTACGTTGAACAAAAACATATAAATATTATTTTATTTTTCTTTCCTCCTGGAGATAATAAATATATTAATAGAAGGTTATAAAACTTTCTGACTTAACTGGATTTTAACTTCTTCCTCTTTTCTTTTTTCTTTGATTTTTATAATTCTGGCATCATAAATTAAAATTTGTAGGGATTCTGCAAACAAAACAAAGAGATAAGTTAAAATTATTTAACACAAAATTTATGACTTGATCATCGATCCTTTTTATATATTTTAAAATATATATTTTTTAGTTAATTTATGATTTATTATATCTGTAGAAAAAAAACAGTTTAAGGAAATGATTTACTATTCGAAAAAACAATGATATAACATAATGTTAAGGCCTTAGTCAATTATCCGGTATTCGATTCAAATTTTGAATCGTATATGATTAATTTAAAAAATCAGTGACCTCCAGACTTGGACCAATATCCGGCCCGGGCACATGGGCAGAGTCTAAAAATTATTTTTTAAAAAAATACTCGAATATTTGGGCAGGGCAATGCAATTAGTACTTATGTACAGGACTCTTAAAAACAAAATTATACGCTGTGAGTAATAGGATTTTCATTAGATTCGATGTGATTTTTTTCTGAATTATTCGCGTAAATATTTGAAATTATTGGTATAAATATATTTATTGGTAAGTGTTCATTGTGTTTCTTGTGGAATTTTTTAATCTTTTTTATTTCCACAAATTTAGTAATTCCTTCATTATTTTTTTTTTTCACTTTTAATAAATATTTTGAGAAATTAAATTTTAATTTTCAATTAAGAATCGAATAATATTTGTTATTATTCGTATGCATCAGAATAAGTAGAATAATAGTAATAGCATTTTAGTGCGCATGCGATGTAAGCGTAAATAATGCAAATTCAAATGGCCTCGCGCAAATAGGTAAAATTACCCCATGACATTAGCAGCCATTTTTTTAAAAAAAATTGCAAGCTGGTTTGCTTTTTCAATACTATTATATAAATAAATTAACTCATATCTTAAAATGGAATATTTAGAAATTAAATAATTAAGAAGGCAGACGATAATATAATTTTCAAAGACAAATCCCTTTTTTTAGTCAAAATTTTGAATCAACGATATTAATAAAAAGAGGCAACCTAATTTAAACACGAGGGATGCGTTACGTTTTTTTTATTAAAAAATTACGGCAAAACGTAAATGCTCAATTTATGAAGCCTATTATTCGATTCACACCTTTGTAGGTCTAATAAACAATGATGTCAAACGCGAAACTAGTCGTCGTTACTTTTAAAATGTAGCATTTGCTAACTTAGAACCATAATTTCATGGAGGACATTGGGGGCCACCCCCATTATTAAGATGTCTGTATACCTCCTGACAAAATATAAGTTTTCGCAAGTTAAATTTAAAAATGTAAGATTTATGGACAAATTCCACCTCATATATTTTTTTTTAACTCGGTTTACCTAATACAATTATTAAACCATATGAGTATTATAGTGTTCCATGTTCGCTTCTTTTTTTTTAATTACAAAATGCTTCTTTTTCTTCGATAAATCGATCCTTCATTCTGTGTCCTAGTTCGACCTAACTTGGATACTTAATTGTTTTTTAGTATAGGCTAGAGATCTTTTGAGCTAGGGCACCCAAAAAATATTTTATTTCTTAAAAAAATGCTCTCCCTGAAATATTTTTTGAAAAATGTAGATAGAACATTACAATACTCAGCCGACGATATATCTATTTTAATATTTTATATAATGAACATAGGAGAAGCAAATTTTTCGGTATTCAGAGCCATTTGGTTAGCATGGGCGATTTTATTCGGTGCATCGGTTCAAGTCGACATACCTAAAAGTCACACGAGCCGCTACTTAATTACCATATGGTCAATGGTAGCCATGGTGTTTATAGCTAGTTACACGGCTAACTTAGCAGCCTTCATGATATCAAAAGAAGATCATTACGATTTCGTGGGCATTCACGATACCAGGGTAAAAATAAAAAATAAAACCGCTAAAAAATAATAAGATACAAGATGGTTGGGGGGGGGGTTTACAAATTTGAAGATATAAAAACAAAAACTAATATTGTTAGCGTTTTTAAAATTCAAATTTTGTTTCCCCGGTGGATAGATATACAATTCAACAGATACATGGGCTCATTGTATACTGAGATATCTTATTAATTAAGTTAATCGTACTAATTAAATTTCGGTTATTTTGTACAAATGTATATTATATAATATGCGTGTTGAGAGGATGATGTTAGAACTAATTGTAAATCTTAAACCTAAATTAGGCCTCATTCATAGTGGGATCTTATTCTACATAATTTAACAGCTGATAGATTTTTAAAATTTGTTTATCAGATAAATTTTTCTTTATTAATATAGATTTTATCTTCAATTCAATTCATGATAGAAATCTAAAATATAATTATTTTAATAAGTAAAATGGTCCCATAAACAAATTTCAAAAATCGATCAGGTGTTAAATCCGGATCGGATGCCACTATGAATGCAGACTTATCGTTAATATTTTTGTTTAAAATTACGAATCTAAAAACATATGTTTTAATATAAAGCTTAGAAATCCTTATTCCAAAGAACCGCCATTTAAGTATGGAACAGTATCGTTTAGCTCATCGGCTCTGAATATTAGAAATAATTACCCCGATATGTATTCATATATGAAGACACACAATCGCACCCACGTTAAGAATGGTATTAGCGCTGTTAAAAATGGGTATATATATATATATATTCGAGATCTATAAAACCCGAGAAGCTTTGGTCATTAAACACACAAGTTCCCCGACCAGGCCGTTAAATTTTTTTTATAAAAAAATAAAGTTTTGGAGGGGAATTAATTACGTTTTAAAAATAAAATTATTATAAAATTTTAAAAAAGATGAATTTAACAAACTCCTTAAAATATTTATTTTTAAGTAATTTCTTTTTTTGAAAAATCTCTACAAATATTTCATAGATTATTGTATTCATATCTATATATTTTTGATCTTCATGCTAAAATATTGTGCAAAAAAAAATATTCAAAATGATCCCATGAAGCTAAAACCCTGCTTAAAACTAAATACTTTAAAATTTTATCTAGATTTAAGAAAAAATTTCAAGTCCTTCTCCTAAACATGTTTCTGCGTAGGACAGTCTATTCAGAGTCTGAACTAGGACACCCTATTCTATTTTGTTGTAAGGTAGCGTTGTTAAAACAGCTCGATTTGAGCACCATTTTAAAAAGGGCTAACTCAATTATTTTAGCCAGAAAAAAATATTGCCTGAGCTTCGAGAATTTCACTGTTTGTGCCATCTATGAGCAAAATCTTCGGGACTTCTATAATATTTTTTTCTGGATAAAATATTGAGTTAGCAGTTTTTAAAAATCAGCTCAAAACGAGCCGTCGAAACAACTAAGTTGCAAGTTTATACTAAATCTACTTTAGCTTCTTTACTTTTTATTCTGTTTAGAATAAGTTATATATAGACGACTAAACAGATGTCTGTTTAGAAATAAGACGAATCAGGACCCGGTTTAAGTAAATAAAAGAAGCTAAGATACTAAAATTATATACTATACAATACATAAACGTTAGTTAATTTTAAAAGAATCTAAATTTTAAAAAAAATAAATTTGTGATAAGATCACTAGACGCTTTTATTTACGATGGAAGGGTATTGGAATATTTGGTGGGTCGAGATGACGAGTGCAAAATACTAACGGTTGGGTCATGGTTCGCAATGACCGGATATTCAATAGCTTTTCCCAAAAGTTCGGAATTAAAAACAGCTGTTGATTCTATGCTCATGAAATACCAAGAAAATGGTTAAGATTTAAAATTGATAATTAATTTTGAAAAGGGGTCTATTTTTAAAAAAAAAAATATTATGATACTTTCATGTGTAAAATTGATCGGAAGTCGAATATCACGTGAACGATATAGTTTCCTTGTCAAAAAGAAAATGGATTCTAATATCCGGTCTTATAATTTTTCGAACAATCCAAATCATGACGCCTTTTGTTTGCCCTTCTTTAATTTTCGTAAGCAAGTTAAAGGTTAATGTACTAAGATACGGGGGGGGGGGTGCTTTTAATTATAATTTCTTATTTTGGTGCTATTTAATTTGATGTGGAACTCTGCAACCTTTTATAACCAAGAGACTATTTATTTTCTAATATCCCTCTCCCATTTTACCCTATCCCATCTCATCCTATCCTAATCACTTCTATTATATTTAACTTTAATCATCTGGGGAATAAACTTCTCAAAACCGGTGAAATAATATAATGTAATGTAATGTATGTGCTCTTAGTTTGGTTTTCATAAGTTTTTTCTTCTTATCTAATTTTCTAAAAAAATTAAATAAACAACCCACGAGTAAAATAGGTTAATTTTTTTTTAAGAACGCATATTATATTTAATATGCTTTCACTATTATATACGTATACGCACATCACTTTTAAGGGGACATGGGTAGATTGCAACATTTTTGGTTGTCGGGAGATTGTAAATTGAAAAAGAATCAAAACGACTCCAGTCACCCGTTGGGACTGCGGAATTTCATATCGGCCTTTACGTTGCTCGGGGCTGGTCTATTCTTGAGTCTCATTTTCTTGGGATTCGAGCACATTTATTTTAAATTCCTGAGAAAGCACTTAAAGAAAATTGACAAACACGGAATTTGCAGCCTTATATCCCTGGTTAGTAATTAAGAACTTTTCAAAATATTTCATCTTTCCCTGAGGGAACTATTTAAAGGGGTTCATAGAAAAGCGGAATTATAGAAGTGATATATTACTCGGAATTGCATCTTTTAAGAATAATGGACGTTGGATAATAGGGAATTCGGAATCTAGAGGCGCGTATCAATTTAAAATAAGATCCGCCAGGCATTGCGATGCGAGATAATTTATTTCCAATTTTTTTAAAGTTGAGCTATATTTTCAAAAAAAGAAATATATCCTAATAGGATCATTATTTATTTTATATCATTATACTAAACAGATCTATTTATGTCCAAAATTTTTTTTGTTATTGGTAGAATATGGGCCGAACCTTAAGCTTCGAAAAGACGGTCATCGAAATTCGAAATAAATTTGTGGGACAAAAATGCAATAATATGGCCTGCAAGACACAAATATGGAAGCTAAAACAAGAATTGATATTTTCCGGTGTTAAAGTTAAGCAATTGGAAAATATGACGGAAATATCGAAAGGGTAATATTAAGCGTTTTATACACATTTATTAATCTTGTTGGACCCAATGTAATGCTAAACTTGCGAATTCATTTATTGTATACGTTCGTCGAAAGAAAGAAAAGAAAGAAAAGAAAATAAAGAAAGAAAGAAAGAAAGAAAGAAAGAAAGAAAGAAAGAAAGAAAGAAAGAAAGAAAGAAAGAAATACTAAAATCTTTTCACTTGCGGATTTCAATGTATGCACACTTATTTATGCATTTTAAAGGACAAATCCTCAGTCTAAGATATCATTGGTTATAAATTAAAGGAACACCACATGTTTTAAAATATTTTCTAAACGATTAACATTTTATGATAAAATTATTTGTTTTGGGCATAATTAAAATTTACAGATATTTTGAAAATGAAAATAAATCGGCAAATATTCGAAACTATAATGGATTGAAGTATGTACAAGTTGGCAAGAGAATGTCAGTCCTAGCGGAAAATGAAACTTCTTTGTAACTTTGAATTGGGACTTTAATACTTACAAATATTACATATTTTTTTTAAAAAAAAACCATATTTCAAAAAATATATAAAATAAATATTTAATTTTTATAATAACAAATTCGCTATATATGATAATATAAATGCCCACCCTCCTTTATCATTTTTTAATTAAATATCGAATAAAATTAATATTCTCGTAACCAAAAAAAACGAAGGAACGCAAATCAGAGAGAGTAATAAAAAATACAGATATAGAAACATTTAATAAAGTAATTTTTAATTTATCACTTTTGTACTAGAAAAAAAAAATACTGGATTATTAATTATATTCTATAAGGTCTAGAATCTAAATGAGGTGATAATATCCAGTCCTAAATAGTAAATTTCGCAACCCTATTTTTATTTGCAGGAAGGAATTTAAACACAAAAAAAAATTTATTAACTTTTTATTCATTGATTTTTTATGTACTAATGTATTATAAACGCATAAAAGGTAAAATGTAATCGCGCGATAAAAATGCCATTTTTATAAATAACTTGGATTCGCTTCAGAAAAAGCTGTCCCGCATTGGATCTAATCCAGATCTAAGTTTATAATGCCCCTCAATCAATGCCTCTAGCGTCTCAACATAATAACACGTCACAACTGCGATTTTTATTTGTAAAAAGGGATAAGAATAATTTGCGACGTTATCTAGTATTTAACATACAAACACATAAAAAGATAAATAACACCTCCATACATCATTAAACCATTTCTTTTAAAGGCAATGTAAGAAAATTTTTTTTATATAAAAATAGCAAATTTTGAATATTTTTCTTCATTCAAAGGTCACACATCTTTATAGATATTCAGTAGCGTATCCAGGATTTTCCTATAGGAAGGGGAGAAAGCCCCCAAACCACCCTTGACTGACCTTCGGCCAGCTTTTCCCCCACCTTCTGCCGGGTCATATTTTTGAGCTATTCTTTTAAATTATTCATAAATCAATAATAATTATATTTTATTAGCTTAAAATGATATTTAGGAAAACACTCAAATTTGCGATGGGGGGTAAAATCCCCATCCCCCCCCCCCCCCACCCATTTGTTACGCGCCTGTAGTGATTTTGAAGAGTTTACAAATAGTGAGCTAATGTCCTATTTACCACTCTAACTACGCCTATGCCAGCATGTGTAGAGTATACCTAACCTTTGAATTAAAGAATTTTTGGTCATGAATACTTGAATATTTTTTATTTTAAATGGAATATTTATGTTAAGTAAAATTAGTTATTATCAAGTAGGGAAGGGATAAAATATATATTTAGACAAAATATGGAGAGAGCATTAAATATTGTCACAATTAAAATTTGTTATAAAAGAAACAAGAGTCATATATGTCTGATCTTTGTAAACAGAATTTTAACTCGAATAAAAAGAGTTACAGGGCTGGATATTTTTAATTTAATAAAATAAAATTTGTTAAAATTTATGACAGGATTTCACATGTATATAGAGAGTTATTTTAAAGGTATATTAAATTTTTATATTTATTAAATGAGATATAAAATTCAGAAAGGGGTATTTATAGGAATTATCAGAATACAGAAGTAGAGAATTTATACGGAGTATTTAATGTGGTGAAAATGGGAAATTTCTTATAAAAATATATATAAAATAAAATTTTTGTGGTAGAAAATTTTTATGTGTTTATATATATATATATATGATTTTATAGAAATGTAAAATTAGTGATTATAATTATGGCAAGGATATAAATTTGTATAATTGGGTAATTTACAAAAAATGAAACATATGATATGATTATTTATTGTTAAATGATAGAGGTGATGAATTTAAATTTAGAAATTTTATCAATCGGATTCATTTTAAATGAAAAATTGTAAAACATTTAAATTTAAAGAAATTTTATCATTATGATTTGTGTAATGATAAGGTGCAAAACAGTTAAATTAAATTTTTTTTATCAATATGATTGGTTTTTAATTATAAAATGTGACATGAAAATTGGAAAAAATATTATCATGACTTGTTGTAATGATGTGATATAAAATTTTTAAATTCATATCATCATAACTTGCGTTAATAAGGTGTAAAATATGTGAATTTAAAGAAGTCTTCTTATTTGATGGGTTTGCTTTGCATTGTTTCAAGGATTATCTTAAAGATTTTAGAAAATTAAATTTTTCTTTGAAAGGATAAATCACTTTGATTATGTATATTTAATGAAATTGTATTTACATGTAATCTATATTTTAAATATTAGTCATTTAAAAAGAAATATATATAATATATGTTTCATTAAACCCCTGGTGAATTTAATTTTGACAAGTTATAAATTAAAAGATATAAAATAATTTAATATATTTATAAAATATTGTTAATACTTATTTATTTTAAAAAATATGAATCTTAGATAAATAAATTTAAATAAAATATTATTAAAAAAATATTTTATTTTTTTCTCAAGATGGCATTATATATTTAGTAATTTAGGTATGCATGAAAATTGTTTATAAAAAATATGTAATTATTATTGTCATATTAAATATATTTAAACCTATTTATTTAAATTATACGAGTTAACAGTATTACTCCAAAATAAAAATGGAGTTGACAAGGTCGCCACCTCCGGCATAAAGCTATAAATATTATCATCCATAACGCTCTTATTAAGGCTAAAATACCTAACATCTTAGAACCAACAAACCTCTCTTTACAAGATGGTCTCAGACCTGACGGTTTAACCTGAACCCCATGGTCCAATGAGAAATCCCTAATTTGGGACGCAACCTGCGTCTCTTCCTTTCCCTCATCAATTAATTCAACCCTCTTACTAGCGGGGAAAATAAAAAAATTAATAAATACTCAATACTAAATAACTTTATTTTTCAACCCATAGTCATTGCAACTAATGGCAATTTCTCACAATCAACATATTATTTTTTTTTAATTTTAGCACGTAAAATTTTTAACATTACAAACAAAAAATGCGAATCAATTTTTCTTAAACAAAAACTCCAATTAGAAATTTTTAAACATAATTATACCTGTTTTTCAGGAACATTTTTACTATAAGCTCTTTTTAGAGCCATCGATATTTTTAAAATATACATTCACTTTTAATATATATATATATTCATTTTTTATTTTTATATTTTGTTTACTTGTTTTAAAGATAAATTAGATAAATAAAATTAAAATTCTAAAAAAAAAAATTTATAGTTGGGATGGCCATATTTAAATATACATTTATAGGACAAATTTGATTTTTTAAATATTAAAATGAAATTTGTGAAAACTAAAAAATTTGTAAAGTTATTATTCCCCCCCCCTCCCCCGGTTATGTTTATGATACATTTTATGGACCAATTACGTTTTTAATAATGTCTTATTCTGAATCTGTTACATAATATGTACTATATTAACTTTTATTTTTATTATTACTCAATTTATATTACTTTTAAAATTGTTAATATGAATTTGCAGTTATGTTTAATAAAAGTAATTGATTTAAATTTTATAAAAAAAGATATATTTTTAATGATATATAAAGCTCATGAGAAAATTATTGTTTAATAGTAACAATTTTTATACTTAATTGATAAAATAAAGAAATCTTCCTTATATTTAAATTGAGCTAAATCCCTATTACTAATACCCAAACTACAAAGCAATTCCTCCAAGACCGACGTCTAATATTCTATTTTAAACTAGACTTTTCCCCGCATGTCTTTAGAATCTAAACCCCCAAGTCTAAATCTCATGGGTGCATTTCAAATGTTACGTCGTTCAATTATTTAGCATCTTTCACTGCAATTCGAACACTCAAATAGAAAATAAGTCTAAATCCCACAGGAAAAAAAAGGTCCATGCTAGATGGGCTATCAGTACACTCCCAACAAAACATTCTTCAACATTCAGGTCGGAATATTTCTATAAGAAATTTTAAATAATCTTAGCCATATTGTACAAATTTGAGAAATTATTTTTTCCGGCAATTTACATTTATTTTCATGTTCCGGGCAGCGTCCCCGGAATTGACTTCAGACCAACAGGCATCATATAATAATTTACTATGTATAAAATAAATTGTATTTTGTTAGAATATTTCAAAAGTGAATCTGGTTACAGTTTTTTTATTTTTGATGGAATTACATTTAAAACTTTAATTAAAAGAAAACTGATTAGATAAATTATGATAATCATTTTACACCATAAGAATTCATTTATTTTTCTTATCTTCTTTAATGCTGATTTACTTGAAATAGATTCCTATGGCTGACTTTCGCCTCTTTTGTTATATGAAGTAAAAATTCATTGATTTAAAGATATTCTGTTAAGATTGATCATCTAAAAGTGTTATGACCAGTTATTATTTTTTTTAAGGTAAGCTGATTAAGTGGAATAGGAAATTTATATCTTCAAGTTCTAATCAGTTGGTAGTGCAAATATTGAGTCTAGGGAGCTCGGTTAAAGCTACATCTATGCCAATATGTGTAAAGTACACCTACCCCGTAATTTTAAGATGAATATATATATTTTTTAATTTATATGGAAAACATAGGTAAACAAATAAGTAATAATTGAAGGTAGTTCAAGGGCAATAAAATTTTCAAAATTGACAAGGTAAAAATACATCTCGTAATACAATTTTGGCGAAATCGGTCCAAAATTAAATGGAAGAGCGATATAAATGGTTTAAGGACGACAAATAATTTAAATATTAATAAAAATATACACAAGAGGTGTGCAACAAGCAAGAAAAATAAAATAATCTTAAAAAATTAGGTTGGCGGGCTAAACAAGATTTATAGATTAATGATGAGCAAGTGGTTCAATTTTCTTTTTTAAACCATGAGGGGGTACATGGGCAAAATCCGGTTGTCAGATGTCCCGATTTTTATACGCCATTCATTAAATTACGCTTTCTCACGATTATCGATCACAAATATGTCTGTTCTCGTATATCATTTTATGCAAATTCCCCCTATACAATCTCAACCCCCACCACACCTTTCTCCCCCATAAATGTATACAATGTGTCACTATTAAAAAATAAATTTTTAAGAATTAGTAAAATTTAGTTACTTTAAAATAATGACTATAATTTGTATTTTTTTTAAAAAATAAGCATTTTTATAAAAAAAAGTAAAAATCCAAAATAATTTTTATATATACAATATATTCAAAGTCCCACTACGATAAAATG